CGTGCATTCCGCCGTTTAGAACTTCATTCCCGCCATTAACCGAACCTCAGCCCCCGCAACCGTTCGAACCTGTTATCTGGTCGGTTCAGTCCGGTTGACCTCTGGTGTTTCCAGGGAAACCGAAGGAGCTGCTGACGTCTACCTGCCCAAAAGGACCGGAACCGGTCCGCTCCTACCGGGCAGCCAGCTTCAGGCCGGTTCTGCTCGGTTCGGCTGCTCGGTTCAGATGAACCCAAACTCCACGCGGGAAACCGGCAAGTCTCTCTGCATCGGTGAGGCTTGGTTCGGTTCCGTCGGTTTCCTGATTCTGACTCTGTCGGTCTGTGGGTCACAGCAGCGTCAAGCTAACAGCAGGGGAACGGAACTTCCGCTCTGGGCTCACCAAAATAAAAGACGTTCACAAATAAAAAAAATTAAAAATCTAAATTTTCAATTATTATTTTCATATCTATGGATGTAATATAGTTTAGAAGTATTTTTTTTACACCTCCCTGCTTCACTTTTAATATTGAAATATTATCAGATAACTTTTGGTGAAAAAGTTATCTGATAATACAATGGGATGCAGGAATTTCCTTTAGATGGATAATAAACTTTTATTGAAATAAAACAGTATTTTTGCAGTAGCTCTATTTTTCCAACTGGCATGATTTCTGTACAAACTGCCTAAATATTTGCCATATCTGATGTTTTGTTTTCTATTGATTTTTATTTTATAACTCAACCAGCTGCTGGGATCAAGATATTTAGGAGCAACTAAACTGTAGAGTAAACAGAAGAGAGCCTCTATCTCAGACCTTGGGGGAGTTTAAACATCTGAGATCAGAGATGAAAAACCAGATCAGAGTTTAATCTGCAGTAATGAATTTGGTTCTACCATGTGAGGAAGGAGATTTTCATCTATAGGAAGAAACATTTCCTTTAGGAAGAAGAACATCTTAAACCAGAAGGAAAAACAAACAGGAACTTCAGTGAGATAGATAGATAGATAGATAGATAGATAGATAGATAGATAGATAGATAGATAGATAGATAGATAGATAGATAGATAGATAGATAGATAGATAGACAGACAGACAGACAGACAGGCCCTTCTATGGAGCAAGTATTATCATTATTATCTATGTAACCTTTAAAAATGTGGTTTAATTATCTGAATGTGTCGGTCTAAACTCCAGAATCAGGTATTCTGTAATATTTTGGGTTTATTCAGCTTTAGAGAAAACTGATGAGGTTTAGCAGGAATGAAATACTTTTATTTTGGAGAGAATCTAATCTGCTTCCTCTCTGCTGCTCCTGTTCATGCAGACCTTAAATCTGAAGGGGGGTAAAAAATAAAATAAAATAAAAAAGCTTTAAACGGCATAACTTACTGGAAACCCAAAACAGCATTTATTAGATTTTTATCCAGCATTTATCTCACTGTGTTTTCTATCTCGGTGTTTTAACGTGTCCTGCTGATGCGCTCAGCGCGGTTTGTTGCAGACTGCTGCCCCCTGCTGGCGATTTGATATACAACCGTGAATTATTTTCACACATGGAGCAAATCCCCTTGGGTGTGTGAACTTTTGATGTTTGTTAATCTGAGGGCATGCCTGCAGCCCCTGATCCATATTTACATAACTAAGCAGGATTACTGTCAGTCACCTGTGGTCTGCTCAGAGCCATGTTTACAGACTGACCTGATCCAGGCGCAGCGGCGGGCTGGAATCTGGCAGGAATCTGAGATTAACTCAGCCACACACCCACTAACACAGTGATGGTGGGTCAGTGTTCAGCATCTATGCAGGTGGAATTGAAGTAGAGGGAACAAAGCAGCCCCTCCCTGATGAGAGGAGGTGGCATCATGATTGGGGCTCTTATCAGAACTTTAGCCCCTCTCCACCTCTGAAGCCTTAATAACTGCATATGCTGATAACATTTTTTCCAGAAATGAATGACACATTGTTTCTGGAAACAATGTGGGGTTAAGGGTCTTGCTCAGGGACCCAGAGTGGCAGTCCGTGGGAGTGGGGCTTCCACTCTAAACTCTCTGGGATCAAGCTCAATGCCCTCACCACTAGGCCGCCACTCTTTTATCCTTGCTCCATCTGATCCTCCAGCTTCTCTTGGGGGTTTTCACTTCCATTTTAAAGCTTCACAGCAATCAAACGTCCAGGCTTTGGGGTTCTTGGTGGTGTGCTGCTCACCACCCCTGAGATCTGACCTTCCAAACTCCTCTAACTGCACTTTTCAGATAGTTAACCTCATACCAGAACCTTCAATAACCAGTTTTTTGGGGTCTTTCTCTGCTGTTCTAATCAGAAGCTGTTGGTACTTATGGTCCTTAAGTATATCACTATATTCAGCATTTATAGTCAGACAGTCTTTAATATGATCCTGGAAAAATATTGGATTGGCTCTGAATCTAACTGATCATAAATCAGATTTATTGTTTTCTTATAAACTTGTGAGAAGCTCCGCCTCCAGCCTGAGGAGCTCTTTGCTCTGTGTGACTAAAGAACCTGGTTCTGATGTGAGATCTTCCCCAGAGCTGTTAGATACCGACTCAAACAGAGGAAGAGTCTAAAAGAGAATCAGAACACAAAGAGTTCTGCCCAATCAAACTGATCCATTTTATGAGAGGTTCTTCTACTGGTTTGTCCTCAGACACACCTGCTCCATTTCCTTAAAATGCTTATTTTTCTTTGTGCTCGGTTCAGTTCTGGATGGATCCAAAGCAGGAACCAGTGAATTGAGCCAGAGAAGCCAGCTGCCAACAGCAGAGTAAGTCAGAACTACTGTTAGTTGAGCCAAGAGAAAAGAAACTGTGGGATCAGAATCCAAAACAAAGTCTGAACACGTTCTTTATAAACTAAATACAGGCCCTAAAGGTAGGTTCTGTTCTGGTTAATTAATTAATAAGGTGGTTTCTGTGAGAACAAGCGAGGAAGCCAGGAGCTGGAAAAATTTCAACACCTTCTGCTTCAAATTTGAAAGAAGATATAATAAATGTAATATAAGTATTGCATCAGACGGGTTTCCTTGTGTTCCTTTAGGTCAGTTATGACTCTGGACCTCTGACCTCCTGGACTAATGCTGACAGGTCTGCTGGTTCCCCAAAGCCCTGGAATTGGTTCTGTGACCCGGTCCAGACTGACGGTTGTCAGTGACTCTGTTTCTCTAATGCCTTTCAATCAGGACACCATCTGTTGCTCTTTCAGAGTTCCAGCCTACTTCATGTTGTCAAACAGGTTCTATCTCTACGTTTCACAGGTCTGGTGGTAAACAGGTCTTAGGAAGGACAGTGAACACAACCCAAACACTGGCTGACTCAACATTTAATCAGGCTCCTGTTTAGGTCCAGGCCGCTCTGCACATAATCAGCGTTTGGAAGCTGCTCCTGTGTTTCAGGTCGTCTTCGTCTGGGTGATCTGAGACATTTTAGTTTTTAAAAAAGTGAGAAGCGAAGCACGTTTTCCAGTCTGTCCAGGTCAGACTGACAGATGATCTATAACTTCCCCTTGAGAAAGAAAAACAGCTGCGTGTAAAACGCACCGGAGCAGCAAACCAAGAGTCCACAGATTTTTTTATTGAAAATTTTTTTTCACAACATGCATAGAAATCCAGCAGGTCCAGGACAGTCTCTCCCATACAGCAACAAGAAGGTGTTTAGCCCCACTCCCACATCCAAAAGAAGGAATAGCGCTAAATTTGAGCCGATTAGCCATTACTCAGTAAAAACCGGGTCGTTTTGGACCCAACCTGCCAACATACAGGGTGTCCACTTTGGTTCAAATTATTGCTTTATAAATACCACAACCCAGCAGAGTCTGACTGCTGCATTTCAAAGTGATCCTCAAAGGAATAAAAATGTTGGCTTTGATCCAGAACCGGTTCTGTGATTCTTATTAATTTTTTTAACCAGACCAGATGTCAGGGAACACGGCTCTTATTGCACAGTGACCCATACTTTGCATATTTTAGATAAATGAGGAATTCATGCAAAAAAAAAACACAAAAGAAAATATAGAAAACTCTGATGTAAATAAAGAAGGTCAGCGTTGAAGATCTAATTCTATCCAGCTCCTACGGAGAACAACATAGATTCTTTATTTGAGACTAAACCTGAACTGAAAGACCCCTAAAAGGACTTTGTTCAAATGAAAGTGCTTGAATGAAGTGTCACCAATGTCACATCTTTCCACTGAGGGCTCCTTCACATTGGATGAACATTCTCTACACTCCAGCTGGAAATCTGTGACGACTTCCTCTGCTGTTTACCAGACGTTCTCCTGCTGTACAGATCTACGACATGCCTACAAACACAGTGGGACCACCTCTGGACCTGGAACTCTCTTAGACCTCTTCAGGAAGCAGAAACACACCACGGGGTCCGGATGGTTAGACTGAACCGTCACCAATTACATCACCTCCACACCACCACCTCTGTCTGATAAGCCGCTGCAGGGGAGGTTTAGAGGACAGCCTTCTTCCCTGTCAGCATCCTTTATCTGCACCTCAGCAGATGCTGGAGGTCAGTTCAGAAAGACAAGGAACAGTATCAGCACGGGCCTTCCCTGGGAACCCTGCCTGGGGACCTTTCCCAGTGAAAGAGTAGCATGTGAGGAAGAAAAACCTCCATCAAATCCACCTTTAATCCTTCATTGTCCAGTTGTCCAAAAGACCACTTCCAGCCAAACCCTACAAACCCTATCAAGACCTCAGAGACCCTACATAGACCACAGAGGCCCTTTCAAGGCCTCAGAGACCCTAAATAGACCCCAGAGACTCTACATAGGCCTCAGAGACCATAGCCAGACCTCAGAGACCCTAAATAGATCTCAGAGGCCGTACATAGACCTCAAGGACCCTATCGAGACATCATAGACTCTTTATAGACCCCAAAATACTCTACCAAGACCTAAGAGACCATATAAATACATTTGAGACCCTACATAGACTTCAGAGGAAACCCTAGAAATACCTAACTAAGACCTCACAAAGACCCACCACAGAGACCCTGCAAAGAACTCACATAAACTTTGAAAAGACGTCAACAGAACCCTCAAAAATGTGACAAAGACCCAGAACAAAAATTTGACTAAGACCTTGGAAAAACTTCACCAAGGCTGTATGAAGACTGTCCAGGTTCATCCAGTGTGAAGGAGCAAAACATGCTACAGATCAGCTTTTTATCCAACAATGGATTCTAGTGTTTCAGTAGAGAAAATTGTCAGATTTATACATATAAATATCTAGAAATAAAAATTCTATGTTGTAATATAAAAAAAAAATCTCTTCAAGCAAAGAAGGAAAAAAATGAGAGGGAGCAGCTAAATGTCCTTACTGGACATTTTAACAATGAATGATCTAACAGGTACTGGTGTTCTGAGTCTAACACAGAGTATGGCTTTGTTTCCACAAACTGCTGCCAATAAAAACACATTCTTCACCAAAACTAAAAACAGAGGCAGCCAGGAAGCACTTCTCAGCTTGTCTTCTTTCTTGTTTGTAATTAATGGCGGTTTTCCCTCCAGGAAACCTGCTAACGAGGACCTTTGGAGCTGCAGCTTTTGGTCGGTTCAGCAAACAGCCTCGTAATCCTGGATCAGTTTCTGGATCACAGATCCGAGTGTTCTGAGGGTCCAGCTTTGCTTCAGGTCTTACATTTTCTTAAATTAAAGCTCACATCTGGTTACATATAAGCAAGGAGGAATTCTTAACGGTAACAATAATTTACATCCATAAACCGTCATCGCTGAGGTAAAATCTAGTAGCACTCTGGTGAAGCTTGTGTTCAAAGAAGCTACATTTGTAGCATCTTCAGCTGGAGCCATGGAGTCAGGCTGCTCAGCTATAGGTAGACTGCCTGCTGGGGGTGCTGGGGCGTGGTCTGTCTCCAGGCAGCAGAGGATGAGGATGTCAGGACACGCCAATCAGCAGAGGAGGTAAGCTCGCTGAAGCCTCCTGGGTTTTCACCTGGAAGAACGAACATTGAACAGATTGCATCATCGAAAGCTGCAGAACGCAGAGAGACTGAACCTTGGTGTATGAAAACAGGCTCATAGGCCCTTCAGCTGTTAGTATCAGGTCAGATCATGAGAGCGAGGATGGTTTAGGATCAAGTTGATGAATGAGACTCAAAGCTAAAAGTTAATTTAGCAAACCAGATGTTATGAAAACACCATGCAGCCTAAAAGGAAACAGTTTCAGTTAGTCTGCAGCTCACAGATAAGCCAAGGTGGACCGTACCTCTAACAGGTGGGGGGTAGGAAAGAGGTGAAGGGGGGGGGGAGGAACAGGGACAGAAGCTCGGAGAAGGGAGGAGATCCTGAGTTTGTTCTCCTGAAGAAACTCAGCAGAAGAGGGAAAAGAAACAAGTGAGAAATCAGAATCATCTATTTCCATAGAGTTTTTGAAAGCAAACAAGGAATCCAGGTCCTCTGCACTCAACAGAGATATTCTACAAACAGATATAAAAAGAATAGAACAAAATAGAAAAGGGGAAATCATAACATTTATTATTTATACATACAGTGTTTTTTTTCAATAATTTGCTTTCCTGACTGTTAATGTTCAACCTGCAGGAAGAAACGGTCTCTGCAGCTACTGGTTTATGCACAGAGCTTCTCTAACATCAACCTGAAGTCACAGTCTAAACAGTATATGTCTAGGATGTAAGGGGTCTGCAGAGATGTTAGCTGCCATTTTCCCGACCCCAGACATAAACAAGACCTGGATGGAGGGAAGGTCGGTCCTGATGATCCTCTGCACGCTGAATTGATCGTTTTAGTTTGCGAATGCTGCTTTCAAAGGTGTGTTTTCAATATCTGAATAATTAATATACTGTCTGTATTTTTGAAAACCATTGAGGAGGTTTGCACTGTTAAAATCATTAGTAAGAATAATGAGAAGAGAAACTAGGTTTTATCTCCATGTCTGTTATCTGCTTTTCAGTCTCTGATGTGGTGGAATGTAAACACTGGCCAAAACATACGAGGAGACCTCTCCTGGGATTAAACAGGTTTAACGCTTTAAACTCCAGGAAACATTTTTGATGCTGTACGGTGAAGGTTAAAGATTAAAAAAGATTTTTAAGGAATGACAGGAAAGGAATCTGGGATAGGAAGCTTTGAACCAACCAACTCACCTGTAGGTTTCCCTTTGCTTTCTTCAGGACATCCCTTGTTCTTGATACTAGAAACAAAGAATATGTTTATTTAATTACCTCTCCCCCACATGTTGCTTGTCTACTGCTTTAGCTGGATACTATCCAGCTAATACTAATACTGTTAGTATGCAGCCAATAACTACAGTATCATAATGTCTGGGGAATACCTACTAAATCACACAAGGACTGAAATATTAGCATAACTTTGGTATTGATTATCTCATATAATGCTTCACCTCTGAAGTGACTGTTCTTTAGGTGGGAACTAGAATAGATAGAATAGAAATATGGATGCTAATGATTCAAATGTCTGGCCTAAAAAGCTGCTGGTCATCAGGAAAGTGTTTACTCGTTTAATGAAGGACAACAAATAAACAATAGCTGTTAGCTGTAGTGATTTCAAGCTTGAAAAAAGAAAAAAAACTCCCTAAAACGTGAGATGAGATTTATAATATTTTTATTGTTTTTGATGTTTTAAGATCTCTTTTGAAGCAACACATTAAGAGTTTGTGCTGTAAAACATTTTTGGTTCCATATGAATGGTCCCAGATTACTTTGCCTTGCCTCAATCCTGCTCTTTTCTCTGTTAACACAGAGAAATTGTGTATTAGCACTGATAATCCTAATCATTAGCTTCAATATGCCAGTAATTAACTGAAGTGGATCATTTATGGGCTGGACACCAGCATCATCTAGAGATGGCATTAGCTAGGCACATGATATAACCACTTAGGAAGAAGTTTAGCATGGATAGGAAAGCTAATATCATCTGATGCTAATAAACATCTTATCTTGGTTATGTTCTGTATTTAAGGGTTCCTTAAACTGAGTATGGAGGCTCTGTTTTTAATCATTAGTATGACAGTAATTAAATATGTGTGCTAATGTCCTGTTAGATTATGCTTCCTTTGCTCGTTATTAGCATAGATAGCTTTGCTATTAGCTTTGTTATGCTAGCAATCAGTGCTTTTACTGTCATTACTGGCTAATTCTTGGATATAACTTTACTTTGGATGATGGAACTATTAGGATTCCAGTTTGTGTGGGTTGTTTTTTGTGTTTTCCTCTCTCCACCACCAGGCGGTGCTCTGTCCTCGTTGGGCCTCCCTGCACACCTGCGGCTCGTTGGGTCATTACCAGAGGAGTACTTGAGCAGCGGGCTGTCACCAGTATTGGGTAATCTAGCCAAACTGAGATTAGCAGAGTCTAATCTCTGAGTCTGAACTTGTGTTTTGTCTTTGTTCTTGGGCAGGAAGACTTCCTGTGTTACTGGATAAGCCTGGACCTTCTACCCCTGGAAGGATTTACTGAGTCTCACTGAGCAAGGGGACAACCTCCACATGATCCGTTTATGTCCACCCTGGAAAACCAAGTGACAGTCCGCTCCTTTACTCCTCTGGGTCCAACGTATGTCTGCCTGTCCACTCTCCAACAAGTTCCCTCTTTTCTGGATTAAACCCCCACAAACTGGATCCAAGGATAAACCAAGAGCCCCCAAAAGTGAGTGCCTCACCAGCAATATTCAAGCCTCAGTCCATTTTCCCACTGTCCCTGAACTGATCACTGTGATCTCCGCTTCAGAGTTCCCGGTTCCGGTTTCATTCTCCATCAGTGTTTGCTATCCTACAATAAACCTGTTTGGCTTTTACCCTTGGTCACTGAGTGGTTCTTTGCATGTGGGTCAGATCAGATTAAAGACCATTATGACAAGAACATTAAATGAAGGGGTTTCAGATGTGTTTTTTTAATAGATAATAAAACAAGGCAATAATAAATTTTTAAACAAGGCTGTTTTTGTTGTTATGGGCTCTAGTTGATTTGTGTTGGAGCAGCATTCTTAACCTGTAGCCTGTTTGTCTTTAGGTTTTCTACTGGGTCTTATATAAAATCTTAAATGAAACAACGGGCCTCTAACATGGTGCACCAACAGGCTACAGCGTCAGTGCAGCTTTATTTTCACTTCTAAAGGATATCGCAGGGGTATTTTTAGAAAACAATGCTGTAAGTTGATCTAAACATCAATTCTCTTTTTAAGGAAAACAAACTGCAGATGTCCTGGGATCAGTTTTATGTTTTAGTTCCTTTAAGATTTTTGGAAATAGGTAAAACATTAAGCAGAGGGGTCATAAAAAAATACTTTCCTTCTCTAAGCTGGCAGATCATTTGGTTTTCTTTGTAAATTCAGTTCTGTATGATCTACTGTTCTTTATAATGTTTTTTTTTTTCTAATAAAGCTTTTTTTAAGACTATTTTCTATGAGAAATAAAGACAGGTGGTTTTGTGAGTTTATAGGAAAAGAATTAGAACAAAACTGATAGTAAGGGTTCTTATCAGAAACAACCAGAGACTTACGCTGGCTGACAATAAAATGCTCCATGCTATCCTTGGTGAGGTTGGAACTCTTCAGTCTCTCCATGGCGTCCTTTAGAGCCTTCTCCTGCTCTGAGAGCTTCAGACGGAGAGAGGCGACCTCGTCCTTTAGGGACTCATCCTAAATAAAAAACAGGAATGAACACAGTCTTTGTTTTGTTTGCAGTAATTTAACCGTAGGTGCATGATTTTGGAGATCTGGGCTCCTACCTGCGTGGAGTCAGACTGATCGGCTCTCCGGGACGCCTGCAGCACAGACTCAGCCTCCTGCAGGATCTGTTTCAGGGTTTTTGTGTCTGACAGCAGATTTCTGACACATCCTGGATCTAAAGGCTGGAAACCAAACAGCATAAAGGATCTTTGTTTACACATCCAGTAGGAGGCAGCAGGGTGCAATCTATCACTGCTCTTCAAATTACCAAGATATCAGTAACGTAACTACTGATGTATTTGTTTATCATTCATGAGTCCGTCTACATTTAGCTTCATTTCATTCATTCGTTGGTGACTGTTTATTCATTTGTATCCATTTATCTGCTTGTTCCAGATCGTTTATTCATTATTCATGGATTTTCCATTACCATATAATTTCTAGATAATTTACTGTATTTTTTTGTTTTCCTCTCATTTCCTGAAAAGAGTCTAACAGCAGCAGCTCAACCCTACATTTTAAACCCTTTAGACACTGAGCATTACACTGTGTTTCATTGTTTCCCTGAAATGGTCTCACAGTGAGCAAAGATCCACGTCGCTCCACCATCTGGCAAATGTCAAAACTCTGCTACAACTTGTGAGATAGAGACCAAGCTTAGTCTGTGCAGAAGTCTGGATCATTCTCCGGTCTCCTTGAAAACCAGCTGACCTCCTCGACCTCTCACCTTATGAAGCCTCTGTGAGGCGTTCAGGGAGCAGAGGGCAGCCTCCATCCGAATAACCAAGGACGCCCCTTCAACCAGCTGCTGCTGCAGGGCCGCAAAGTCTTGGACATGGCTGACGGTGGGGCGGCTAGAGAGGGAACCATCAGGAGCTTCGCTCTGCAGGCTGGAGGCAGCTGAGGGGGAAATGAGGGAGATGTTGGAGATCCAGGAAAGAAGTCTGTTCCACACCACTCTGAGGTATGCATCTGTCTGTGTCTCACCTGTTTCTCCTTCTCTCTGTATGGATCGTAGAGGAGATGAGGGATCAATGAGTCCAGTGTCTCTAACAGGCGGAGAGAGAACTTTATCTGCAGAACAAACATTCCTGTTAGAAGTTCAGAACATTTTAGAAATGTAAATAAACACAGAATGGATCTGATTCCTCTGAATGTCCATCAGAAACAGGTGGGGTCAGTTTAAACAGTGTGTGTCCAGGATGAGCGGGGTCTGCAGAGATACTTGCTGTCCTTTTTATCCAACCCTACATCTGGACACGCTCTAAACATGTTTAAATCTTAATGAAAGACAGACTGACCGCTGAAGAGTCGCCTCCTGGCTGCAGGACGGTCAGTCTGACCAATCAGCTGCTGCTCCAGCTGGATGTGAAGCTCTTTGGGGTCAAAGTTCACAGCCTGATGTCCTGGCTGAGCATCCTGAGCCACCTGATCTGCTCGGCAACACAAAGTGCAGGAAATCGGTCCCAACAAGGAAGCTGATGTTTTCCGTAAATAGATTATTTCATATGTTTTTGGAAAAAAAATCTTTAATAAAATTACCCTAAATATCAGCGGCGTAATTATCAATCTTCCATTTCTAACAGACCTTGTTTAAACCTGTTAATTTTTCAGTAAGATCAAAGCCAACTGCTGCTCCAACACCTTCTGTTAGTGACCAAAATCAGAGGGAATAACCGCAAGAAAATTCATAATAAACTATAAATAATAATAAAATCAGGCAGCTAAACCATCATTTGGAAGACAGACCCAGAATGCTGAGCTGTGGCTGATCTTTTTCTAGTTAAAGCGGGCCTATTATACTTCCTCTTAACACTTAGGATTGGTCTACGGCAAATACGGACATAAAATTTTCTTTTTTGGCTTTAAATCCCCCTTAGTTAATAAGATTTCACCCTCAGTTTCCCCTATTTGGAGCAACTTAACCCCTTGAACCCTACGGACCCACCGGCGGGTCCAGCTGCTACGTGACCTCGTAGTTTTACCAAACCCCCAGTATTGATGTAAAAAACACATTTGGCACAGTTTGGTGACATTTATGGATAAATGTGCCAAAATGGCCTCTCCGCCCAAGAAATTTCTCACTAATACCATTCTAAAATAAATATGATTCATCTGATTGAGTCCAAATTTTGTATATTTTTACACAACATTTAGATTTGAAAGTCTGTACTACTTTTTTGTGCTATAAATAATATTTTGGTAGTGTTTTGCAATGTTTATTTCAAAGAAAATTTTGGCGAGGTTCAAAAAATGCAAAATATTTAGTATTTTGTCCCTAATATTTCAGGCAGGGTCAAAGCTACAATGGTGCTGACAACAGAAAACCATTCTATGACATCTTACCTTTACAGACGTACCAAAAGTTTCTTCTTAAATCTAATAGCTTTGAGGCTATAAGTTATTTACTTTTGTGTGCTTTTGTCAGGCAGAAATTTATTTATACCCCCTTAGGGTGTAAGAGGTTAAGGATAAACTGTTTGCATGATGCTACATCCGCACATCTGGAGCCATTTAGGATGCAGTTAGCAGTTTCTGAATGGTTAGCAAGTCTTATTCCCAAAGGCTACCGTAGAGAAAATTCCAGATATTTGTTTAAAGCAAAATTCCTACAGAGTTCTTAAACTGTTCTGTTATTTCTTCAGCCTGTCATGATTTTACAAAGTGTTGGTTTGTCTGCGACGCTTCTAGGAGGCATTTTGGTTGTTTAAAAAGAAGGTAATATTAGCGCTAGCACCCCTATGGGAATTTTAATGTAAAGTAGCATCTACGCTAACAGTTACCTGCCTGTGTCTTTTCTGCTGTAGTTCAGTGTAAATAAATTAGTTGCTAACTTTTCTTCACATATTAAGCTCAGTGTTAGGAAATTTACTCGAATAATAATTATAACTTTATGTGAGATGTGATATAACAGGGAATGTGGCCAGATGGCCACCTATGCTGAGTCTGGTTCTGGTTCTGGTTCTGCTGGAGGTTTCTTCCTGTTCAAAGTCAACATTAACCAAAAATGAAGATCAAAGCCGAATGCAAAAATGAACGCAACAATAGATCATTTTTCTACTAAAATTACTTTTTCTTATCAAACTAACAATTGTCATAACAAGTTAATATCAAAGTTAATAAATGCAACCATAGAGATACACGTTCTCTAAGCCCAGCTTATTAGTTAACATTGCAGTTATGTGAGGAATTTTATGAAAGAGCACGATTGAAAAATCATTGTCATATTCAAAAATTAAAGATTTGTGTCAGAGTGTTTTATTTTAAAGAGCTAGTTCTAATAGTTCTTCATAATAACAAACCTTAAATGATTAGTTATTGCCAATAATAATAATTTCTGACTTAGAGCCGCTGGAAAGATGCAAACTTTTTCATCCTTTTTTTCTGAACCACAGTGATTTTTACTACACTAAACAAAAATAAAATGACATCTAAAAGACTTTTTCCAGCTGATATATATATATATATATATATATATATATATATATATATATGTATATATATTTGTCTCCATAACGGTGGACACCCCAAAGCTAACTGCTCCTAAACATGCATATCCTGATGTATAAACTATGTATAAACTATATACTATAGTTTTAATTGGTTTTAATTTCAGGGACAGGTTTTCATTGGACTTGTTCTGTGTTTTCTAGATCTTTTTTTTTTTGTTTCTTTTAGCTGCTTAGAGCTGAAATTTCTTAATTTCATTGGTGGATCTACTGAATCCCTCCCACCGGGTTAAATAAGAATTTAAACACTTATTAGGTTACAGTTTGATTTCATATTTCACCCAGAGGTAGAAGTACATCAAACACTGTGAATGTTTAGTAAACTAGAGGTCGTCCTGCTGAATCCTGGAGGAAAACAGAATTTAAACGATTCTGTGATCCCCCCCCCCCCTTTTCTTCCTACTGTTTATTCTTTTGTAAAGTAAATGCAGAAATTTTCTAAAGTGAGGACCTGTTTGGTGGTAAGACAGCATGTGTTTTCTCAGAAAAAGAAAGAGTTTTTGCTTTATTAAAGCCGTTGATCAAAGGCAGCAGTAATCAAAGAGGCAGATGCCATGCTGCTGCAATCATTCCCATCGTCATCATGAGAAACAACACTGGATTAAGTGTGAAATGGTGGTATATTCAGTACTTTTTATTTCTTCATGAAAATACACTTTTGAACCAGCCCTGATAAAACCGAAACCTGACCAAAACCTCAAGGCCGATAAAAACGGGTGAAAATCAAGACCTCCAATCTGACATAGGCTGAAAATGGAAAGTCCTGCATACACATGATAAATATGAAGGATTGCAGCAACTTTATTAACTTGATCTGTTCTGCTGAGTGAGTGTTGAACTAAAAAAGAAGCGGATTTTGCCTCTAGAGCAGAAAGACCAAGCCACACTTTAAGCCTGTTTTGGTATCATTGCTATTTATGCAAAGTTGAATTTTATTGCTTTTAATTGATCTAGAATGAATCTTTTTGACTGAATTGAAGAAACTTTATATCTCTATAAACTAGATCTCTCTGGACATCTTTAATTTCCTCATTCATCTGGGATGATTCACTCTGCTTTGTTTTACAATGACAAATATATTCTATAAATGTTTTAGTCAGGAAATATTTGGAAGAATCATTTTTCTTATCTGTTTGCTTTGACGTCCTAATCTGAGTAACTGGAACAGAATTCTTTATGATGTTCATAAATTCAGACTCTGATCTCCAGATGAGGACCTCTGCTGATTCCTACCTGGGTGTGTGTTTCTAGTGCACTTTGCCTCCTGCAGCTCCTTCTGCAAAGCCTGGATCAAACTGCGGCTCTGGTCCAGCTGCTGCTGTAGGACCCTGGCCTCATGCTGCAGCCTGAGGAACCAAACAGACCTTAAATTCCAGGTTTTCCACCATAAATCAAGAAAAACAGCAAACAAATCACCTGTTGATGGTTTCTTGGCTCCTCTGTCTTCCCTCTTTCAGCTGCTCCATTTCTTGGCAGCGGACTTGATCTTCTGCCTGCAGCCTCTTGCTTAGCTCCACCCACCTCTGTGTTTCTAGCTCCGCCTCTTTTAGCCTGGAGCGCTCCAGATGAAGCACCTCTTTCAGGTGCTCCGCCTCTCTGCTGCCATCTGGAGGCCGAACATGAAGAAAAGATTAAGCATTCTGCTTTAAATGTGTTTTTTTAAACTAATCCTGGCAGAGAGCATAAAGACCTCTGTTGATGAGCTTGAGTTGAGTCTGCAGACTGGCGTTCTCCTCCTTCAGGAGTCTGATCTCGCTGGAAAGTTGGCTGACTGAGTCCAGACCCTGGATGTAGATGTTGGTAGGAGCTCCTGTGGAGTAAATAATAAATCATTTCAAGACAAGTTTTGCTGAATTTTAGCTTAATGAGGCTTTTTAACTTCTTGTTGTTGATGAGGATTTTGTTCAGTACGTAGGATTAGAATGATGGAAGCATGATAAACCAACAAGGAACCATCAACAGACCATCAATAATCCAATGACTTTTACAGAACCTCAAACTTCTAAAGAACCTCTCATTTCTAAACAACCTCTAACTTCTAAGAACCAGAAGCAGGTTTGGGTATTTGGGCTCAAACAGAACACCTTTCTCCATGGCGGTCTGTGCCAGTTTTTCCTCCAGCTGCTGCCGTAGTCGGTCGTTGGTCTGGATGGAGTCCTCCAGTCTCTGTCTCAGACTCCTGATTTCCCTCAGATGTTCCTTCATCAGGTCTGAACCTTCAGTAAAAACACAACAAGAACTAAATCATCTGACCTTCATCCAGCAGAGAAACACTCCAAAGAGGGGAAAAAAGCTGCACCTGTGTGGCTGTTGCCTGACTGGTAACCCGAGGACCCAGACGACAGGTCCGCTCCAACCCTGGCGGGCCTGCTTCCATAGGACATTTCCCACAATGCACTTCTCTCTAGCAGACTGGCCCCAGCATTCATGGCCATGCTGGCGCCCAGGCTACTGCTGCTGAACGGAGAAGGCTGCAGTTCTTGGTAAGAGAGCGGCAGGGGGTTGGAGGGCTCTGCAGGATGCTGCTGGGCCAATGGGAAGCCATGAAGAGATCTGGACTGAGGAGTGGAATACCCTGCAGAGACGTAGAACCCATGAATAATGAGAGAACAAATCTGTAAACTGTTAGAAAGTGTTACCGTGTTAGCACAACCAAAACAGAGCTGAACCGCAAAGAAAACAAAGATCTATGGCAGAGCGCGATGCTCCACTCCACTCTCTCTGCTGGCCGATGGACTGCAAACCAAACGTCCTTCACATTCACCCTCAGCATTGGCGCTCCACAGGGCTGAGTGCTGAGCGCACTCATCCACACAAACTCATATCAAAACCCAACTGTGGCATTTTTGAATAAAAGAAGTTACATAAAAAAGGAGAAAGGAAAATGCCAAAAAAAAAAGCAGAAACAGATTTGAGGAAAACTAGGGGAACCGCTCACAATGAAAACAAGTGAAATCCATCAGAGTCAAGATGGAGAGGCAGCAGCTTAGAGTCTGAGAGCTAGCCCTCCGCTGTGTTAGCAGAGGTTCCTCAGAAGCTGCCGATGAGCTTCTCTGAACTCACCATAGAGAGCCGCCTAAAGCATCACATGCTGGCCTGCATGGATGATTGATGCTTTGAGCCAAAGCTGCAACCTAAAATACTGATTTCCAGAATGGTGAAATAATATCTAAAACCATCTGATATCGCAGCACTGATTTCTGGGGTTGGTAAGGAGCTGCTCAGTCATACTGTTAAAATAATTTAATACACATTGCTTATAAATTGTTTTAATCTCATTTAAATGTCTTTGATTAGACATGATTATCTGATTTTAGAGTGGAAGTCTAATCTTAGAATCATGAAATTAACTTTTATATTAACAGCCCTCTTTCTAACTTTAATAGCAGACTTAAACAACAAAATAAAAGTTGTTTCTTACAGTTCAGCTTTTAGTTTTAGTTTATTATTTATTTCTCCTGAGGCGGATCAGAAAACAAGCTTTTTTTTCTTGCATTCTGTCAGGGGATGGGTAATTAACTGTATCTGAAATATTCATAACAAAATGTCATTTTCAAATCACAGAGGCACTTAACTTGGTCACATTACATTTAACGGGAGTAAGACACTAAATTTCTCACTGCAGCTCTTTAGGTGGCGGTGATACATCTAAAGTGGGTTTCTCTCTTCACAGGAAGGTAGAGAAAGTTGCAGCTAGTATGCAGATCCATGCATGCAGTATAAGTAAGCACTTTTTCACTCAGTTACAGTAAAATCGTGCAACAATGAACTCTGGACAAGCAAGCTTTCAAGGTCATAAAAAACTGAAACCCTGAAATGAAAGTTCTGTGACCTTTTGGTTAGGAAAATCTAAATAAAATCGTGATATTGGTAAAAAATAATCGCAATTTTGATTTCTGGCAAAATCGTTATGCTGTAATTTTGAGTTAGTCTTTTGTATTATTTCTGAGTCAGTAAACAGGTTTAGTTTGTTAGATTTCTCCCTCGTTCCACACAGTCGTGCACACCGAGTCAGAGGGACCCACTCTGATTGGTTCCCAGCTGCTTCTGCAACATCTGGAGCTCCTGGCGGACCTCAGCCAGAGAGAAGCCCGCCCCTCCGCCCCTCTGAGGCTGCAGCTTCATCGGAGGAGCATGGAGAGGGGAGGGGATGCGCTGCTTCAGGAGGGAGGAAGAAGGGAGAGGGTGACAGGGAGCTGGGAGGAAAACAGTGTGAGGAAGACTCATGAGAGGAACAGGATGAAGGAGAGGGTGAGGAGACTAGAGAACAGGTTGCAATTTTAGCTCCGTCTCACCTGAGCGACTCTGCAGGTCTGCAGGTTTGTGTGGTGAGCCGGTCAGATGCATGCTGGGACAGCTGAGGCAGGACTGGGCGCCATGGGAGGAGATGGATGAAGGGACAGACAGGCGGCGTGGCAGGGCGCCGTCCTTAGAGGCTAAAACAGAACAGGGATGGCCGTCAAATGAAGACAAAGTGATAAATACAGGCTGCATGTCTGCTTTCTGAAGCAAAACATCGACTTTCAGGAACCATCTCAGTCCTTTCAACAAAAGCGCTCTGAGTTGTTCTTGAAGAGATGTGGTTCTCCTCGGTTCTGTCCCTGACCCGGACCTGACTGCTTTCAGTACGACTCTACAGCTGCTGCATGACGGCGCCACACAAAGGCAGCCCGGCATCATCAAACATGTTTACCTACAATATCCACCATTCATAAAGCTGCAGTGCTGCCATCAGAAGACTGCGGAGGCCTGCTGCTCAGAATTATAGATTAATATTTTATCAATATAATTAACCCCTAGAACCCTACGGACCCACCGGCGGGTCCAGCTGCTACGTGACCTCGTAATTTTACCAAACCCCCAGTATTGATGTAAAAAACACATTTGGCACAGTTTGGTGTCATTTATGGATAAATGTGCCAAAATGGCCTCTCCGCCTAAGAAATTTCTCACTAATACCATTCTAAAATAAATATGATTCCTCTGATTGAGTCCAAATTTGGTATATTTTTACACAACATTTAGATTTAAAAGTCTGTACTACTTTTTTGTGCTATAAATAATATTTTGGTAGTGTTTTGCAATGTTTATTTCAAAGAAAATTTTGGCAAGGTTCAAAAAATGCAAAATATTTTGTTTTTTGTCCCTAATATTTCAGGCAGGGTCAAAGCTACAATGGTGCTGACACCAGAAAACCATTCTATGACATCTTACCTTTACAGACGTACCAAAAGTTTCTTCTTAAATCTAATAGCTTTGAGGCTATAAGTGATTTACTTTTGTGTGTTTTTGTCAGGCAGAAATTTATTTATTCCCCCTTAGGGTGTAAGAGGTTAATATTTATAAATCTTAATATTATCATTTAAAGTTAGGATCATATTCCAGATAAACTGGACTTTCTCACTTAAAAACATCTTAAAACTAGCTTTTGTTTTCCCACTCATCAGAGGGAATAAAGCAAAGTCACTCTCTCTGTTGCATCTGCCACTGAACACAGACTGGAAACAAACACGTCTGAGCACTTTGATCGACATTTGTCTGGATTAAAAAGGATCCGAGGTGAGAAGCCGGACACGTTTTTGATGCGTAAAACGCATTTGATGTGAACGCAGCATTAGGGCTGTTCTTCTCCACTGTCACCTCATGTTTGCTCAGGGGAAAGGCGTTAAGGCAGTGACTCAGTGAAATCTGCTGCAATTCCTTCGTCACAAAGTCTTGTTAAAGGACGCGAAGATGACTCATTATTTCCTGTACTGAGTAAAAAACAAACTTAACCTTAAATCTGGAGCTGAATCGATGCTAACTGTCAGATAGTTGTGCCATGTTTTTTTTTTTGCAGCCTGTAGTTTTATTTTACTGTGTTCTGCTGCCCCCTGCTGGTTGAATTCACCTGTGCTGATCCTGATAGAATTCCTGGTTTCCTCCAGTCCAAGCTCACTGGCAGCACCTGGGTCAGAGCACAACTCCAGGTCGTCGTTGTTGGATCCGTGCTCGTCAGACACATAGGAGATGCGATCTGATTGGTCGGTGATGTCAGAGAGGGCGTGGCTGCTGCTGGGTGTGTCAGGGCGATGATGATACAGCTGCTGGTTGAGTTTGGCTCGTAGAGACTCGATGACTTTGTCCTTCTGTTGCAGTTCTTTACTGAGCCTGTCACACAAACACACAGACCCATAAGCCAGGCGGTTCCACAACTAGACTTTCACAACATTTCATGTACGTATCATTTGTCTATTATTTTTTTGATTAATCAAATAATAATTGGAGAGCCAAAGGTTCCTTAAAGAGGATTTTTTTATGAAATCAAATCAGGTGAAACTAAAACAAGGTTTGAATAGAGTATTTTGACAGACAAAAACATTTCATATTATCTTAAATACGTAAAATGTTTATATATATATATATATATATATATATATATATATATATATTTTTTTTTTTTTTTTTTTTACAATTTTGATATAATTGCTGCTCTAAATCAGTTACTCTGTCAGCTAAAGACATGTTTAAGAGTCTCTATACTCCAGTTAACGATTAATCGATTACTAAACTAGTTATTTCAATAATCGATAAATAAAGATTTAATCTGATTAATTGTTTCAGCCCTGGATTAACGTCAGGACCCACAATCTGATGGCTGTTCCTGCTCAGAGAAAGAATGATACAGAGAGCATGTGAGTAAACACTGATGTCCCCTCAGATTCAGCCCAACAGCAGGCGAGAAGCTCAGAGAAATTACCAAAAGAGCTGCGCCTCTGACTCTACAGGCCTTCCTTAACAGGCTAAAGGTCATTACAGGACGAGAAAAACACTGAGCAAGTATGGCCGATTGCACGATTATCAGGAATAAACAAACACGATCGAAACACGTCATAAAGCCAATATTTTCATAGAACTTAAAGGGCACTCTGGGAAAGTAGAGAAAGGAATATAAAGATCCTTCTCCTTTGTTTTTGGTCTTAGATAAGCCCAAAGAAGAAATGAGAGGGGGAATCAAAAGCATGGCACATCCCCTCAAACCCCTCCTACCGACCATCCAGCTTCCACGGTGGTGGAAGGCTGGGGAGTTCGGTTTGTTTTGCAGCCACCCTGCAGTGTCTGCTTAAAGTCTGCTTTATGCCAAATGTTAGGCCATTGGACTGAAAGCTGAAACCGGGTCCAAACCTGCCATCAACAGACCATTGATCCAAAACACGACGACTAATCTACCTTCAGAACGGCTAAAAACAGAGGAGTCCTAGTCACAGTCTGGGTCTCAATCTGATGGAAATACAAAAATGAGTTTGGGAAACATCAATGAACTATGAAACGTTGGAGAGAAGCCTAGATCAACATATGGTATCCATATTTTTTTTAAAAGGCTGAAATAAGTTAAGGTTCACAAGTAAAAAAGAATACATCTGTGAGCTTTATAAAGCTGAAAGCATCTGAGAGCTGCTGCCTTGTGACCTGGAGGATAAAGAGCATTAGCAGGAAGGCGAGTCACCTGCTGAGGCATCGTGCCGCTACAGGAAGCCTCTTAGTGACAGACGTGACTCTGCATCCAGCCTCACATGATCACAAGAACAATGGCTGAAAAATAAATAGCATGCGTGGAATCATCCCGCCGAACAGGCAGACTAGTTGTGTCTGAAGCGTGTCGCCTGCAGCTGATTTAATTACCAGTGACGTACTGGTATGGGCGATAAAGTCCCAGGAATCAATGCTACCGATGGCACACAAAGGCAGCAGCGATATCCAACACAAACATTTACTGGAACAATAACACATTCAGAGTATTTCCCAAAACAAACGATCAAAATCATTCCTAGAAATTGTCAGTAAAGCTCTACAGCTGTTCCATAGGTCGGTTAGGTAAGTTAGTCTGTCTAACTGACAGACTAACTTACCTAACCGACCTATGGAACAGCTGCTATTAGATCACTCCATCCAGATGTAAATAAACCCTCTATGAGAAATAATGTAAAGACCTTTACGGCTGCCCACTCAGAGTGGGCTCTGAGTGTCAGTGGATCAGGAAAGGACTGGGACGCTTCAGGGATTCTATGGGCAGATGATTGTTAAGGTCAACCATTAACCAAAGCAAAAATCGAAAACTGGTTCCTGTTGAGAATTGGTTCTGTTCGTTCCAGTTCCATGGCATCGTTTGGCAACTTGCTTGACGATTTTGTTAACGATTCCAGGCAGCGCCAGAGCCTAGGGCTCTGGGCAGTGGGCAGCATGACTTTGGTCATGTTTTTTACACAAGTTACGCACCCGGGATTTAGTAAGAAAAGCAAAACAAAAAAATGGCGTCCCATCGGGTAAAGCGATCCAAAGTTCATTTTAAGGAAGAGAAAAATGGCATGGGAGGAAATACACTACCGTTCAAAAGTTTGGGGTCACACTGAAATGTCCTTATTTTTGAAGGAAAAGCACTGTACTTTTCAATGAAGATAACTTTAAACTAGTCTGAACTTTAAAGAAATACACTCTATACATTGCTATTGTGGTAAATGACTATTCTAGCTGCAAATGTCTGGTTTTTGGTGCAATATCTACATAGGTGTATAGAGGCCCATTTCCAGCAACTATCACTCTAGTGTTCTAATGGTACAATGTGTTTGCTCATTGGCTCAGAAGGCTAATTGATGATTAGAAATCCCTTGCGCAATCATGTTGACACATGTGAAAACAGTTCAGCTCGTTACAGAAGCTACAAAACTGACCTTCCTTTGAGCAGATTGAGTTTCTGGAACATCACATTTGTGGGGTCAATTAAACGCTAAAATGGCTGAAACTCGATAGTCTATTCTTGTTCTTAGAAATGAAAGCTATTCCATGCGAGAAATTTCTAAAAAATTGAAGATTTCCTACAACGGTGTGTACTACTCCCTTCAGAGGAAAGCACAAACAGGCTACTGCGGGTTCTATTTAATGAAGATGCCAGTTGGGGACCTGTGAGGCGTCTGTTTCTCAAACTGGAGACTAATGTACCTATCTTCTTGCTCGGTTGTGCAACGCGGCCTCCCACTTCTTTTTCTACTCTGGTTAGAGCCTGTTTGTGCTGTCCTCTGAAGGGAGTAGTACACACCGTCATTTCTAAGAAAAAGAATAGACTGCCAACTGAGAGAAAGGTGACGCTCGTTTATTTAAATCAGGGAGAGATGAGTTTATTTCTCGAAATTGTACAGTAATGCTTTTTCATTAAACGGATGCCTTCTCCATTAGATTTAGAAGACTGACGAGAATCGATAAGGAATCCAATCGTTTCACAGAATCGATAAGGGAATCGGAATCGTTCGTTATCAAGTCCCAACCCTATCCAGGTTGTTGTCATAAAGTCCAACTGCTTCCCAGTGAAGGTTGGACTCAGTCATGAGGCCCCTGGATGAGGTCTGTTCTTAGAACTTTTAGTTTTTGTTTATTTGCAGATGATGTGGTTCTATTGGCGCCTTCAAGCAGTCAGCTCCAGCCTGAAACAGCGTAGAGGATGGACTGATCAGCTGGAGCAGCTTAGGCTCCTCTGGCTACGGCTTGGTTCCTTTTTGTCGGTCTGCCTCAAAAAGGAACTGAGCTGAAAAATGATCCTCTGGTTAAACTGAACCATCTGGGAACAACAGTAAATCGTCTTTAAACGGGTCGGGTCCATTCAATGGGAGGTTTCAGACCACAGCTGCTCCTCCTCCTCATGGAAAGGAGCTGGGATGGTTCTGGAACTTGATCAGGATGCGTCCAAGATGCCTCTCTTTGGAGGTTTAAAGAACAGATCCTAGAAGGACAAGCAGCAATTTCACCTAGAAGAGGTGGAGCATGCAGGAAAATAAAGGTTTGGACCTAAGTAGGAGCTGAAGAAGTGGAAGAAAATAAATGGATGAAATAACAACTTTGGTTGTTCGGTTTGTTGCTCTTAATGGGACACCTCTTCATCAGAACCACTGGTTCATCTGCAGAACCACATGGAGTTCAATTTGTGTTTGTAGCTCTGGTCTGATATGCAGTGACCGGTTGCACCCAGCTGGGATACCTTAGAAAATGTTTACCTATTATATTTTTTTTTTTCTACCAAAAGTTGATAGCTATGTTAATTTAAATGTGAATTAGTCTGATTTAATCTGTTTATGATAGAACTTTCCTGTAATCTATTGCTGTACAGTAACTGTCCAGAAGAATGTTCCTTTTGGTCCTGGTTCTCCAACCATCATGATTTGTTCATCGTTACACCTGTTCTCTAACAAATCAATTACCCCCTCTCTGTTTAATGCCCCCCACCCCCCCCCCCCCAAAAAGGTACCAAAATGATGAGAATAGATTTTTTATTGAGCTTCCAGAGGTCCTAATGCCTTATTGCCGTTTGCTGATCCTCAGGTCAGTTATTTGACCCCTGGACTTTAAGCAGGTGTGGATTCCCTGACAGTTAGATTATAAAAAAATCAGAAGGATGGAGCCTTTTGGGTCTGGGTCGGCCTTACTTTTCGAGCTGGGTTAGCATGGCCCTCCTCTCCTGGTCGGTGTGTTTCTTCAGCAGCAGCAGCTCCCTCTCCTGAGCTTTCCATTCCCACAGGGAGAAGGAGAACAGAGCATCTCTGTACAGCGGGCTGCTTCTCGACAGCATCGTCTTCCACAGAGGAGCCATCAGGAACCTTTAAATCTGTCCCCACCGGCTTACTGACCTGCCACGCCTGTCCATTCTGCTACCCGCACTGAGCCTTCACTGTCAGATGGTTCCTCGGTCTCCTGCGGTAACTGCCTCATTCGCTCAGAGTTCCAGGTTGTGACCCCAATGTTGGCGCCGCAGCAGGCAGATGGAGCAGGAGGAGGGATGAAGGGATGGAGAGAGCGACGAGGCCAGCAGGTGAAAAGCACAGCAAATCCTGATTAGGCCAGAGAGACCTTGGTGGCTACTCTCCAACGCACAGATGGAAGCTGGTTTGGTCCCAGAGCCAGGGGAACTGGAACTGCCAGAGGAATCCCACAGCTCTTTTGTTGCAGCTTGTCCTAATGTCCCATTTCCTCTTTTCATCGACTGCACTTCCACATTGAATCCTTTCTGAATCCTGCAACCATAGAGCAGCTCCTTAACACCCAACCCCCCACTGGGATGTAATGACAAACATAGAGAGGAAAGCGGATGCCCAGAGTCCAGAGGGCTTGTGCCTTCACGCTCCACCAGCCATCAGAGAAAGAGAGGAGCAGCGCTGAATGAAAGTGGCTTGTCCTCTTTCATCTAGTCCTCATCTGCCCATCCACAGAAACACGCCGGAGCCGATCCTCAGCTCCAAACACACCTTTATCTGCAGCTGGATCAGGAAAATCACTGCGTGTTTAAAGCAAAAAAGTTTCAGGTTGGTTCTCAAAAATTAAAAGATCTGATTCCAATATGAATCCAAGTGGACGTAAAGTAGAGAAAGTGATGATAATCCTGGGTTATGGAGAATAGGTCTTACATAATGATGAGAGGTCCGGCACCATGTGCAGCTCCTGATGCACTGAAGCAGAGCGAGCTCCATCCCTCACACTTTATCTCCCTCTCTTTGCTGCGTTTAGCTCCTCCTGACCTATTTCCCTCCCCAGTGGAGGCTGTAATAACTTAACCTGATTAGAGACCACGTTAACGACGGGCCCTATGCAGCATTAGTGCAGCTGCTCACAGACTGTGCAGCCTGCATGCATTTAAATATCAGGAGCGAGGTCTGCTCCCTGATGGTCTGCTCCCACGTTCCACGGCACTAAACTGATTTATGATGCAGATCATTTCCATACTAGAACCCAGCAGAACACAAGGCGAGCATCACTTCAGGAAAGATCCCTTTGCACCAAAAACACTCTTTGGATAGAATCTAATTTATGTTTGATGGAGTCAAACATTTAGGCCCCATGAAGAGATTCTAAAATGAAAGAAGAGATTTAATCTGATGATTAAAGATTAATTCTGTCCCTTTAAGAGACTCAAACCAATCCATCCATCCATCCATCCATCCATCCATCCATCCATCCATCCATCCATCCATCCATCCATCCATCCATCCATCCATCCATCCACTGATGGTTTTTCAGATTCAGAGCAGCATGGCTGCCATTAGGAGCTTCCTGGTCTGATCCTGACGGAGCGTCCATTTCCTTCAGAGGAAGCCGTTAGTTTTTATCCAGAGCTGATGAGCTCAAGTGATGAAACATGAACTTGGTGAAAATGAAGCTTCCTCCTTTGGCCTCATTTCCTTCTTTGTCACTCGTGTAATCGACCTCTCTGTCCCAGTCTCCAAACAATGTGCTAAACCGTCATAGTAGCTCAGTCCGAGGCCAATGGTGGCGGAGAAAATCTGCAAATGGATCAGTAACTGGATACTCTTCAGATCCATGGCTGGACCTGGACATCTAGCTGCTAAAGATTCTGAACAGAAGCAGAAACAAAGGAATGCCGGGTACTCAGAATTGATATTAGTGACGCAAGTTCTGCTTTGACTCTGGTTCCACAGGGAATCCATCACTGGGAATAAAAGGTCTGATGTTCTGGATGTCAGGGCAAAGAGACAAAGGCCAGAAGAAATATGAAGTTTGTTTAGCAGTTAGCAATCAGTCCCCCAGACCGGCTAAATAAATCTGAAGAGGAAAAGCTAGCTTCATGTTGGTTTTGTTTGTTCTGCTGACCTCAATCTTTCAGACTCACAGGTTGGAGGTTTGTGGAGGTCCACTTCCTGGTGCTTAAGCAGTTCTTTCAGGCACATATGAGGTTCATAGCAGGTAATGATGCTACAGGACAACTTCTCCTTTACATCTGATCAGCCATCTGTGCAGCGACACCCCAGGGTTAGATCTCTCTCTCTGTGTTTGATCATTTTTTCTGGGGGGTGATTTATTCCCTTTGCTTGTTAATCTGCAGACCCATCCTCTTTCTGCCCGGCAACAGCGACCAGGCTCCATCCAGGACTTATTAAATACACTCTGGGTCTGTAGCTCCGCTGATAGAAAACTGTTAAAAACTCAGAAATAAATTCTAATTTAATTTAAGTGGGATGAACAATATTATATAATATTTAACCTTTATTTGATCTAAGGAGATAAAACCAAATGATTTTATCAGATTTATCCCTAAATAACCCTTATAACACAAAAGTTGTGTTATAATGGATAGAAGATTGTCACATTAACCCGTTAGGCTTCTAGGAGAATAAACGCAACGTGACAGAGAAGCTGCACAGCGATCACTTTAATACCTGAAGTGGCAACAGAACAAAGCCGGTTCCTGTCCACAGTCACAGCTCTGACCGTAAGGCTGGAAACATCTCCAAAGTGTTTTATCTGGGGTTAAAAAGTGTCGCCATGACAACCAGTAGATTCTATATTCCTAATAACTGTTGGTTTGTCCGCTGTCACTTCTATTAGATCACATTCATATGGAGGACTGAAGGATGAATATGTGCAGGGAAAACCAAAACAGTTAAGCATGGTGGAGAACCTGTTATGCTGAGGGCCTGTTTCTCTTTCAAAGGAACCATAGACCGCAGGAGATCATGACCTGTACGGTACCATGGAGTTGAACAGAGCTTCTATCAGAACAGGAGGGGTTCGGCAGACACAAAATAAACCGTTTCCATGATTCTGTGTCATGAGCTGAGGGGAGAATCAGAGAGGACTGTTATGCCCCAATTATACCTCATGACATAACAGTCCTCCACCTATGTGCAAAAAGTGTTTGCTCTTTGCCCATGAACCTCCAGGGCAGGGAAGCCACATTGGGGAGGACTCTCTGAATGCTTTCCCAGTGTTTTCTGGGGTATTTCAAAACCATATTTCTCTCTGAGTTTACAGGAGTAAATTGGAGGTACGTGACTAACGATGAAGCATCTGAAAGGACAAAACTAGCCTTCTGAGGCCGTTCAAACTACAGATCCCAGCTAATCTTTTGTTAACTTTAGCAACGCCTCAGCTTTCCAGAGGCTACTGGTTTGGAAAAGCTAGAGAAACAGTTTCCGGCAAAATAACTTCTTATTTTCTGTTGATTTATAATCATTTATTGTGTTTTACTGTTGAGTAAAACAAGCTAACAAGAATGCTAACATGTTTTGAGCTTCTGTTAAGACCAACTATATTTCAATAAGTGTTTAAACATTAATATGATAATAATGTTTGTGTTTCCTGAAATGTTCATTACATTAAATAAGTCTTTTAAAACGAGTTCCCTGATGTCTGATAGTTATTAGCTCCAGGGTATTAAACAAAAAGGGACACAGCTTGATCATAACGAGTCTGCTTGTGTTGCAGAGGGTCCAGAGGTTCTAGTGTGGATGAAAACCCGTGCTCTGGGTTTCTATCTGGTACTGTCATTAATCCCACAGCTCTGGGATTAACCAGCCTGCGGGATCGTCACTCGTTGCAGAACCTGATCCGGGTCGTTTCCACCCTCAGGACCAAACATCAGCCCAATACGTTCCACTGAAATCCATCAATACCACACTGAAACAAAATCTAAATAAGTCATTTTGTTTTTGAAATAAGTGCTTTTGTTCTTGAATTGAGGCGGGAAGTGAGACACAAGAAAATTAACATTTAAGACAAGAAAAAACAACTGCATTTTCTTATTTCAAGCGCATATTATCTAATTATCTTATTTTAAGAGTAAAAATTATCATTCCGCTGGCAGATCATCTTATTTACCCCAGTAAATACACTTAATTTAGGATTTTTATATATAGATCTCGTTTTGCAGAAAAACACAAAGGAGGGAGGGAGTTCTGACCGGATGGCGAGCAGCTCCGTCTTCTCATCCGGATCCTCAGATTGGTCTCCTGTTGGTCAAACCAGACATTAATCTCCTCATTAAGTCTCCATTAACCTCTGAGCACATCAGGAATCCAGAGGGACTCACTTCCACTGATCCCGGCGCTGACCCGCTGGGCCAGAGCGCTGCTCTGAGCCAGCTGCTCCCTGAAGCTCTGGCCCATGTAGTAGTCGATGTCGTTGGCCCTCAGCAGCTCCTCAAAGGCCTTGGTGGTGTCCCCTAAGTGCTGGGTGAGCAGGCTGCAGACGCCCCGCCCTTCACGGAGCCGCTGGCGGAGGTGGGACAGCTCTCTGGCCTGGGATCTGATCAGCGAGTCGAATTTACTGGAAAGAAGCCAGGAGAGAACATCAGGACAGTCGGCTGGGTCAGAGCTTCTTCTCAGGATTCATGTCTGTGTGTTTGTGTTTCTGTGTTTGTCTCCCTTCCTCCACCAGGAGGCGCCTGGTTCTGGTCCGCCTCCTCACACACCTGCTGATGGTTTCCTCATTGACGGAGTGCTCTTAAGCTGCGGATTGCCACTACCTCGACGCCAGTGTGTTTGACAGTTTTGGGTACTCTAGCCAAGCTGAGTTTTGCTGAGTCTAACTGAGCTCTTGTCAATCTGAGTTTTAATCTTGTTTTTGTCTTTGCCTCTCAGCAGGAAGTCATCCTGCAAACTGGATGTTTCTGACCTTCTCTCCCAGGAAGGATCATCTGAGTTTCAAACTGAGTTGTGGATTCAAACAGGAGGTTTGAATCCACTTTCCCTCAAGAGATCATTTGAGCTTCACACTGAGTAAGGGATTCATCTCCACTACTACCCGTTCAAGTACCGCAGGAAATCTGGGTGGCAGTCAGCTTCTCCGTTCGCCTTCCAACAATCTAACAGAAAAACATTCTGGGTAAACCCTGTCCGCCCTCCACAGAATCAGACAAACACTTAAACTTCCGCACACAGACTGGAGTCTAAGAGTCAGCAACTTCTCTGGAAACGTGAGTTATCTACCACATTCTCCTCTTCAAGTTCGAGAATCAAAATTCCTACTGAGCCTGAACTAACCGCAGTGTCTTCCCCTCACTTTCAGTTCCGGTTGAACAGTGTTCAGAGCAACACTGGATTCTTCACAAACTCCTAAATAAACCTGTTAAACTTTCCCCTGGTCTCTCTGAATTGGTCTCTCTGCATGTGGGTCCGAGCTCTTGATAAAATCATGACACTTCTGACTCAGCTGAACAGATTTGATCCTGTTTTTATCAGGAGTTTTTCATTTTTTACCCTCGTTTCCTTCAGATTTTATCCCAATGTCATCCGGAATTCATCCCTGTATATCCAGATTTAATTGTTTTTGTAATTGATATTTTATGTTTGTTTTATTCATATTCACCTGTCCTGTTTTTTAAATCAGATTTCATCCTATTTTTATTTATGTGAGTTTATCTGTTTTCTTTTTTTCATAATTTCTAAGTCCCGTTCTATCCTGCTTTTCATTCAGATTTTACCCTCTATTTTATTCTTTATTTATCTTTTTGTTAAATTTATCTTTAATCCTGGTTCAATTTAGATTTGATCCTTTTTTTTATTGAGGTCTTCTCATGTTTTATTTAGAGTTTATCCTGATTTTTTCACAGATTTAATCTATTCTAATCTCTGTGGTGTTGGATTTTAATTTCCTGCTGGTTTCTGATTAACTCCTGTTCTGCTTTGGGACGTACCCCGGCCAGTTTGCAGAGCTTCCTTCCTCCTTCTTCTTGCCTCCTTTCCTCAGCTGGTCCTCCAGAGCGTCCACTCTGAATGTAAGCTCCTGGAGGTCCTTGTCTTGGTGGCGCTGTGAGGCCAGCCCTCCTCCATCAGAAGACTGCCAGCCCTCATCCTCCTCCGCTCCGCTCAGCGGGGTCTGTGGAGGGAAGTCGCTGGAGGTGGACATGGAGCGGAGGCGGCTCTGAAGCCCACGGATCACTGCCTGGGAGCGGGACAGCTGGGAGCGGAGGTCCTGGACCAGGCGCTGGAGGGACGACACGTCGTCTCCGTAGGCAGTGGATCCGCTGCTGCTGGCTGGCCACCACTGGGAGCCGCAGTCCAGAGACGTGCACATCTCCAGGTCATCGAACTCTGCAACATGAAACAGGAGGTGATCAGAACCAGAACCGGCCCATTTAAAAGGAGACTGTCTGTGCATTATCTGAAACCATTTAATTAAACCTGCTGGTTCTCTGGTTTCTGACGCAGATTAATCTTCATTTTTACTGTTATCTTAAAGCCAGTCTCTTCAGTGAGTCCGCTTTTGTTAAAGGGGGTTCTGTTTCAGACCACTAGATGGCGCAGCAGATCAAATGGATTTTGATCAATTGTCTCTGATTCATTAAACTCTGCAGTCAGAGACAAGGTGCTCTGCTGCCCCCTGCTGTGTGGTTTAGTTTACTACACCAGATGCTGGTGTAGTAAAGAGACTGAGGCTTCTGAAGGCTGGGTCAGGGGACTCACCTGGGCTGCTGGCTCCTTCTCTCTCTGCCTCGTTCTCGCTGCGGCCGCAGGTCTCGTAGCCCAGGTCCTGCAGGTCCACCTGGATCTGCTTACTGTCCTGCTGCACGGCTGTCTCTGCTGCAGGGAGACAAAGGATTCAGCTCACTGGTCCTGGACACAGGCTGGTCCTGGACACAGGCTAGTCCTGGACACAGGCTGGTCCTGGACACAGGCTGGTCCTGGACACAGGCTGGTCCTGCTGGACGGCGGCTCCACTCACTCAGAAGCTCTCTATAGTCCTTCAGCTGCTCGGCCTGGGCCTGCACCGTGGCCTCTGACACCATCAGCCGCTCCTGCAGCTCTCGGCTCCTGAGCTGAAGCAGAACCGTCTTCTGGCTGAGCGCTGAGGACGAAGCGTCCTGCTGTCCACCGGCCTGGATTCAAAGACAGAACCATCGGGTCCGTTTTACAGAGCTGTTGTTTCTCAGAGGAAAACCACAACCTAAGGCTAAGGGTCGCTGTGTGAGATCTGGAGGCTCCTGGACCTCCATCAGAACCTGCAGCTCTCTGTGAGACAACGGTTTCTGTAGGAGGCCCAGATGAACAGAAGTGACCCGGTTCAGTTCCAGTTTGGACTCACAAGGTCAAGGTTGTGTTAGAGTTTGGTTTAAATCAAAGGTTCTGGATATTTCAAACATGGAGAGAAAATCCTCCAACAGAATGAGGGACTGTAAGAACTGTAGAACCGATCTGCTGGAAAGTCCGGCTGAGCCTCAGAGCTTTAAACAGAACCACAGCTCGTCTTTGACCAGAACCTCATTAACGTCTGAGAGGACTTTGCTGCCGGTACCTGCAGTCAGGGCTCTGTTCAGGATCTGCTCGGTTCTAAAAAATGATTCAGAACCGGCCCTCCTACCTGTGAGGAGCAGGTCTTTGCTCTGTCCTCCATCTTCTGGTCCTCATGGTTCTGAATCCCAGCTTCAGATGTAGAAAGATCTCCATCCCAGATGTCCCACATCCCAGAGCTCTCCTCTTCCTCCTCCACTGTCACATCCAGCTTCTCCTCCTCGGCCCGCCTTCTGTCGGCCCGCGGTCCTTCAGCCAGCTGCAGCTTCAGATCTTCGTTCTCTGCTCGCAGGCTGAAGAAGGCTCTCCTTCGGGACACAGAGAGCAGAATTAGAACTGGGTGTTTCCCTGGATCAGGTCTGAAGCGGATCCTGTTCCTGGACAACCATGCAGCTGATGGATCAGCGTCCGCTGCTCCTGGATTCATCTCACCTCATCTGGGATAGTGAGGAGAAGCCAGCTTTCTCTAGCTGACCTCTCAGCTCCACCAGCTCTCTCTCCAGAACCCGTTTGTGCTCCACCAGCTGCTGGACCTCCATCAGACCCTCACCGTCCAGCCGGGCCTGTGGGAGAACAGAACATCTCAGTGGTTTCGAGTTTGAAGGGTCATGATGTAGGAGCAGACGGATGGATCATTTCTACCTCGGTACCAGACTCATCCTCAACACTCTCCGTGAACTCGCTCTTCAGATCTTCATCTGCCTCATCTTCATCACCACAGCTCAGCTCTGCAGGGAGCAGAACAGACTAAGGTAAATGGAGAACCCAGACTGTTTGGATCATCACTGTCTGACAGCGAGGGACCAAACCAGAACCATTTGGACCTTTGGTTTCTTCCAATACCTGATCTAAGCTAAATGGACATGAAGAGAAGGCCGCCCGTACAAACCATGCAGTTCAGAGGGTCCTAAGGAGCAGGACTCAAAAAGGTTTTTGTGGTTCATTATAAACTTTTTGTTAATTTTATTTTTGTGGCACTAAAGGCTTGTTTTTATGGACTGTAGGCTGACAGGAAAGGGGGTATGAGAGAGGGATGCAGGAAAGGACCACAGGCCAGATTCGAACCCAGGTCGCATCGAGGACTAAGGCTCCGTGAATGGTTTGTTTGGGCTGAGCCGCTAAAGCACGACCCGTTATAAACCTTTTGTGTTCCACAAGAAAGATTCAGTTAAAAATCTGCTCACTAACCCGAAGGCAGGAATCCTGCTGAGAGGGCGTCATCATTTAGGATGATTAGATTTAAATGACGTATATTCACATGCTATCCTTTTTCATTCAAGTTTATCCCATTTTTTATTTACATTCAGTTTTGTTTCAGATTCTATTCAGGATCAATTAGATATATTCCTGTTGTTATTCAGATATTAATTCTGGATTTATTCACTTTATCCCAATGTTAATCCGATTATATCCAGCCATTATTCTAGATGTATTCCCATTTTATCTTCTTTACTCATATTCTATTCATTAGTCAGGATTCAATCAGATCTAATCATGTTATTCAGATTTTATTCAGGCTAGTCTATCATCATTTATGATTATTAGATTTAAATTATGTATTTTCTACCATACAAAGCCTGCCTGAATACAGATAACTTGTGATTTATTACTGTGTGTAAAGCCAGATTTATTTGCAGTGCTGTAATTATAAAGGAGGAGGCGTCTGTGCTTGTGTCACTGTGGGAGAATCTCCTGCAACCATCAAGTTCTTCAAATTCACAAAAGGACAGTGCAAAAGCTTTATTGTTTATTAAGAGGTCAGACAAGAATGTCTGCACAGCGGCGTCTAAACATCAGTACTTACTGCGCTCCAGTGGGACATTCAGCAAAAACAGATAATAAATAAAGATAACAGACATAAATCACATTCACGGTTATAACAGCAAAGAATTTGATGTTTTTCTAACAGAGAAATAAGCTGTTAGTCAAACAAAACAGTCGCTATTTAAACAAATACGTTTACTGCTGCCGCCATAACTAAGCACAATTATTACTGTTTAAGCAGAAATACAATAAATATCATAAAACACCCAAAAAACAAGCATTTTTATTTATGATGAATTTTGGGTATGATTTAAAATCATTATAATTTAATGTTAATGATAATTATAAATTGACATATTCTGGTTCCTTCAGTTTCAGTGATTTAATTCATCAGATTAGTTTAAGTATATCGGATTGTGTGATGATGACTACCCAACCTTTCTTCATCTCAGCTGGAAAGAAACATCATGCTGTTAAAGAGTTAATGAATTAAATTATTTGACAAACATTGTTTAAATCCATTTCTGGTTTTAGAGGCGCTGGAGTCAGACGTCGGCTTTAAGGGGTTAGCACTTTCACCCAGAACAAGCAGATGACCGCCACCAAAGCTGCTGGTGCTCCTATTGGGCGCAGTCACCATGGTGACGGCGCCCTCCGGTGGTGAGGAGGGAACTACAGATACAGCCCCATGCTTCTCTGATGCCCACCTCCAAACTCAGGCAGCCTGTCGTCGGGCTGAGGGGTGTCCTGCTGGAGCAGCATCTCCCTCAGCTCCTGGACCTCCTGGGTGAGGCTCTCCACCAGAGGGCGGTCAGAAGGATCCACCAGCTGCCTCTGAACATCCTGCAGGTCACAGAAACCAACCAGCAGAACATAAACACACAGCAGCAGCAGCAGCAGCAGCAGCAGCAGCAGATGAATGAGGGTGAGGATGCAGAGGTCTCACCCTGACCATCTCCTCCTTCACAGTCAGACTCCTGCTCAGCGCGTCCAGCCGCCCAGCCTGGCTCCTCCTCTCCTCCTCGTTCTCCTTCTCCCTCATCAGAGCCAGACGCAGCTCCTCCTGTAAGGCTTGGACCTCCAAAGCCAGGTCTGGTGCCGCCTCAGGCTTTGATCCAGAACCTGAGCTCAGCTGCTGGCGTAGCTCCTGGACCCTGGATGCCTGCTCATTCAGAACCTCGCTGAGTCGGCCCGCTGAGTCCTGCATGGAGAGCGGACAGCCTGTCAGTGTAGAAATCCTTTCAACCATCTTTGTTTCTGCTCTTCTGCTCTACCTGAAGGTACTGGTCCCTGCTGCTCATGGTTCTGAGCAGGTCCTGGACCTGCTCCTCGTGCTCCCGGGCCTGACGGGTCCGGTCAGACATCACTTCCTGGAAGAGTTGGTCTTTCAGCTGTAGGCGGACCTTAAGCTCTTCCACAACGTGACCAGGAGCAGAATGAACCTGAGGCAGTAAGGAGCAGCGCAGATCCTGCAGGAGAAAAGGAGACAAATCTGATCTAATCACCACAGATTTAATCGGGAAAAATAAGTTTTTTTATCTACAACTAGAACTTTTCATTGTGTGTGATACATGTATGTACACTTGCACCTTAATCCTTATTTATCCTGATATACTGTATATACCTTGATATACTGTATATATATTGTTTATTCTTAATGCACCTTTTTCTTCCTTGTTTGCACCTTCTTTAATTACTATGCCAATATGTGACCAGAGAATTTCTCCACTGCGAGATCAATAAAGCTCATCTAATCTAATCTAATCTAATCTAAGAGGAAATGAACAACTGAAATACGTCGCATTATAGTCGAATTTCAGTTAAATTTTGCTACGCTTAATTTTAAAATTATGCTTAAAAAGGATCAGTTTCATGTTAAATAGCAAACTCTCTTTTAACTTGATTTGGTTAGCTTTCCCTAGCTAACAGAAGCTAAGCTAAGCTACCTTTAGCAGCCATTCATTTAGCAAAGCTTAGTTTTTCTTAGATTAGCCTTTTTTATTTTAAACTAACGTAGCTTAAGCTAACTAAACTCTCCAAAGTTTAAACTTTGCTAATCTAAAAATGGCTGAATTAGCTCTTTATTTTAGCTTCTCTTGTCTTAGCTAAGCTTTCTTTTAAAAAGAAATGGTTTTAAATCGAACCTTTAGGGTTTTTTTACCACTATTTTTTTTAAAAAGGTTGTGAGATTAGTAAAAAAATAATCCTAGCTCTGCTTAATTTCTATATTCCTTATTTAACCTAATGTAGCTTAGCTTTACAGAATTTAGTCTAGAGTCTCTTACTGCAGCTTTTATTTATTAGGCTGATTATTAAATCTGAACCAGAACTCCTTAATGAAAGCATGTTGCAGTGGGATGACAGAGCATTCCAGACATATTGCTGTTATTTCTGGGTTTGTCTTCAGACCTGAACCTCCTGTGTGCGAGCGAGCAGTGCCGCCTGCAGCTGATCAATGATGCCGTCTCTTTCTCTCAGGATTTGTCTCTGCATGTCCTCTGCATCCTGCTGCTGCGTCTGGACGTTTCTCCAAGCGTTGGACACCTGCTCCAGCTGCAGAGCCTTCCCTCTCAGCAGCGCCTCCAGGCTCTGAGACAAACACGGGGTCGTTGGTGAGCAGGCAGGAAGTAGAACAGCAGAGAGGAGCCGAGAGGAGCTTTTACTTACGGCGATGGTCTCCTGGTTGTTGTCCAGGACGGAGCGCTGCCTCTCCAAATCACGCTCCTTCTCTCGGAGCAGCAGCTGCAGTCGACGGGCCTCCTCCCCTCTTTCCTCCATGGAGCGAAACTTCTCGTCAACAGCTCGCTGGACAGGAGACAGAAAAACCATCAAGTCTTTTGGAATTTCTTCAGGTTTTGCAAACAAACTTGTAAAAGCTGGTTCTGTTTTTAAAGCTCTAACTAAAGATAAAGTGCAGAAAGGTTGAAATGTTTCTCCTTCTAAGCAGCTCTCCTTAAAAAACTAGCTGTTTCAGAACCATGTGCAGTGAGGTTCTGAATCCAGACATCCCCTAAACCATCAGGATGATTCAGGAACACTGAGGCTGGGAGGATATCCATGAAGATCTCTCACTATCCTGTCCAGAAACACCTCCTGCTACAGAAGGAACCACCTGCTGGAGCCACACAGGAAGCCCTGCTAATGGCTCAGTACTCAGTCCAGGCCGTATTTAATGAATAAACATCACACATTCACATTTTTCTGATCCAGAGGGAAGAAATGTGCAGCTGGTTGTTTAGAAACCCGTTAGGTTTTAATCAGGGTTGAAAAAAAAGCTCAGATCTGTTTCATGTCCCTCATGTTTCACCTCCAACGCTCGGTCTCTCTCTGTGATTCGCTGACGGAGCTTCTGAAGGACAGAGTCTCTGTTCTGCTTGGGTTCCTTCAGCATCTCTGCATATTCCTGTAGAACAGCAGATGCAGAAGCGTCAATGTGGGACAGAAGCACCAGGATGAACACTTAGCAGAGCAGCAAATGATGGTAAATCAGCTCTTTATTTAAGGTACGTTTGTGTTTGAGACACTTTTATGAAAAAAATGAAACCATTTCTGCTTTTTAAGGAGAGGTTTCTCTGCAGGTTATTTCTGTCTCCTATAAAGCTATGCTAGCAGCTAAACCGTGCCTAAATCCTAAAAGTGGAACCTTTCATAGTTGTTTTAAGATTTTTTAAGGATTATATCCACATGTTTTGAAATTATTTTGAAATAACTGACAATGTTATGAATATATTAACTAATTTTGTCTCGTTGTTGTTTGTAAACAGCTGCAATGTTGCTGACGCCTTAGCAGAGGATCACATTTAATTCAGCCATTTAAAAACAAACCTGTTCAGATTTAGGCTTAGCTTTAATATTTATTGTTTTTTATTTTACTGCTGCAGCATCAGAACATTTCTCAGACACACTTATAACTGACAGCAGCTCATTGCTCTTTGAAACGCTGTGAAAAGACCAGGGGCCTGTTTCAGAAAGGAGAAGTGAAAACTCTGAGTTTGTTAACCCTGAAATGAGGGAAACTCTGGGTTTTCTGTTTTAGAAAGGGAGGTAAGTTAAACCTGAGAAAGCAGAATAAGTCAAGCCCGTTTCTGAAAGAGAGGTAACTTATACTCAGAGTCAGTTACCATGGCAATTTACTCTGTGAACCTAACCTGGTCGGGAGCAGGTTTTCTTCAGAAAATCCAGAGTTTATTTTGGTCTCCTCCCCTTTTTTAAAGAGGAAGTGGTGTTTAAACACCTCATTGATTCTTTGGGGACATACAGTATTCATTGCACACATTTCAGTCACGTAGAGCGCATCAAAGGGAATGAAATGGCATGTCCTTTTATGGATGATCCTGTTTGTAAAGCCAGGTAGCTACTCTACTCCCATGATGTGCTCAAGGCTTACCTGCTTGAAGTATGTTTTTATATTTCATTTTCAGCTGCTGCCATGTTCTTTTGATGCCTGCAGGATTGCACCTATCCATGAAAACTAAATTAGGTTTAATAAAATACTGTTCTTCCAGTTTCACCTCTGATATTATAACAGTTGGGTAAGTTACTCTAAAATAGTTCTTAATTACTAACTACAAATTTTATCTTCAACAAGTCTAATTAGATTAATGTAATAATTACTGTCTCTAGAAAGTATTGGTCTACTTACTAATTTGTTTTACTTACTTATTAATTACTTTCTAAATCCCAAATCAACCTCAACCACTTGAACAATACAAGGAGAGACAAGAAACTGCACTTCTAATGCTTTCAAATAAACAATATTCAATTGCATGAATTAATCTTAAATTGACCAAAGTGTAACTAGAGGGAGAAAGTTCAAATCAAAATATACCTTTTAAAATTTGATATTAAATCGACTATTGTTTTATTGTCTTTAATTTAATTACAGTATTTATATGACTTAAGTAACTTAATTCATTACACCCAACACTGTGTAAAAGTAATTAAAATGTAAACTTACGCATTGACTCGAGCAGCTATTTTCACCCAAGCTAACTCTCTCTCCTTCGCCGCTGCAGCCTTGTTGCTTTTTTTTTTTTAAATACATGTTCAAATTCTGCATATGCTTGCATAAGCACATCCAGTTCTGCTGGTGAGAATTTTGCACACCTTTTTTTGTCTGACGCTGTTGCCATGGTGACTCGTAATATCTGTGCTCCATTGATAATGGCTTTTTATAGTTGTGGTGCACACGCTTAACTCAGAGTCAGTCAATTTAGAGTTGATTGAACTAACTCATTTCAGCTGTTCTGAAACCCAAAACTCAGAGTTTCCAATCTCAGGATAAGTCAACTCAGAGTTCAAGTTTTAACTCAGAGTTGGTTGAACTTCCTCATTGAAACAGGCCCCAGGACCTGAAACAGCTCCTTGAGGGACTCCACTTTAAAAACCTTAAAGGTTCCATGAGTTTAGCTCCTTCTGTTTATTAGCGTTTTTTATGGAGCTGATATATTTCCTGGTTCCAGGAAATATATCCTGAGAACATCTGACCTCCACCAGCTGTTCTTTGATCTGCAGGAAGGTCCTCAGCTCTCCAGCGGTCCGCTCCCTCTCCTCCTTTTCCCTCAGTCTCTCATGCTCGCTCTCTTTCAGCTGCTCGTCCTTCTCCTGCAGAGCTGAGCGAACCTTCTGCAGAGCCAGCTGCAGCTCCTGGGCATCAAACAAAAAGAAAGTCTGAGCCAGAGGACATATCAAAAGACGCTTGTTTTGCATTAATCTGTTTCTACAAATTGCTAAAGTTGTTAACATGTTTATTAGCACATCACTCCAAGCAAATAACCAACAGCACTTATGAGACAGCTATGACCCTGAACAATCATTTAATATATCTGCATTCTACCCACCTGGCTGTGTCTCTCTGTCTCCCTCCTGTGCTGCAGCGCCACCTGCAGGTCTCTCTCTAGCCTGTCTAGGGCTCGGTTCTGGTCCTCCTGGGTACGGGCCGCCTGCCGCTGGGCCCGTTGACCGGCCTGCAGCTCCAGCTGGGCCTGGAACAGGGACGCCTGAATAGCCAGGATCTCCGCCTGACCCGGAGCGGCTTGGGTACCGGACGGCTGGGGGTCAGAGAAGAGAGACAGGAGGTAAAGTCTGGATGCTGCCTGCAGGTTATGGTCTCAGATGATGGAGGAACATCCTGAACCTGCATGTGGCTGCGGTTGGCCAGCTCCCTGAGGGAACACAGCATCTTCTTCTGCTCCTCGATCACCAGGCCAAGTTCAGAAACCTGCAAACACAGACGAACATAATCGATTTACACATTTCCCTTCCCTCTATAACTTCTTCTGGTCATCTCCATGACGCATCCTCTCACCTCCGTCTCCTTGGAGTTCACGCTGTCAGTCAGGTTTTGGATGTTTCTCTCCTGTTGCCGGGCCAACTCCTGAGCGCAACGCAGCTGCAGCTCCATCTCAGCCAGACGCTCCTGCAGCTTCTACAGACGGAGGAAACCGTCGGTCAGACGCTGGCGAGAAGTTTTATGCTAGGCTAGGAGAATGTTCTGGTACCTGGTTCCGCGTCTCGCTCTCTTTGATCTTCACCTGCAGAGACCGGACCTTGTTCTGGGCCTGCTGCAGCTCTCCTACACACTGACCTGCTGCATTCTCGTACCGACTGAGCCGACCCTGCTGCTCATCAATCAGCCGCTGGAAAACACACATCAACCAGGTGAAAACATGCCCGACTGCTGCGAACGGGAGACAATCCTCCCCACAAGCTTCTGTTCTTCAGCCTCTCTTTGCAAACCAGAGACCTTCTCTTCTTTACACACATGGTTGGAAAAACAATACATCAAATATGGCCGCATCATAAGCACCAGGGGAGCAAAAAAAGGAGCCAAACTAAAGGACTATGGAGCGGGGCCCTGTTCTGAGTGCTGTATATATCTTCTAGGTTTAAGGCTTCACAGAATGGCGAGTGCTTTTAGTTTCTGAGTGAAACAATGAACAGAACCGTCCACCTTTCGGGAACTTTGTGCCACTTCTTCTGCTGATTCCTGAAAGATGAACTGAAAGTGAAAACTGATGTCATCTCAGTCAGATGACTTCCTCAGGAAGTGGTTTCTGTAACTTCCTGTATGCTTCACACAGTTAAATGTAGGGATGGGAATCGAAAACCATGGCTTATTAAAACCATGGATTCCATGGCATCGTTTGGCAGCTCGCTGAACGATTCTTTTTTCGATTCCCGCAGCACCAGAGCCTACAGCGCCGGCTCTGGGGAGCACGACTTACGTCACGTTTTTTACGTAAGTTACGCAACTTACGCAAGTTGGAAGAACAATTCGAGGAGGAAGACAACGAGCTGCGGTCACTTTGTGAATCAAAGCCCCGTCTTTCCTTAGCCCAGAGGGTAGATCAGGAAATCCAGCTCTGTAAAAGATTGCCCTCCATCCCCTGCAGGGATAGCGCCACACTGTGGTGGTGGAAGAAGCAAGATACGCTGCCCTTGCTATCTGGACTGGCTGAAAACTACCTCTGTGTGCAGGCTTCCTCCACCCCATCTGAGAGGGTGTTTTCCACGGCTGGAGACACCATAAGCCCTGAAAGATCCTGTATCCTTCCAGAAAAAGCAGATATGCTCATCTTTCTGCAAAAGAATTGTTAATTTTCCCTCACTGCAAAAACGATCTGAAATTAAGTAAAAATATCTTAAATCAAGTGTATTTACCCTTAATTTGAGCAGGTAAATAAGATAGTTTGCCAATGGAATGAGTATTTTTACATTTAAAATAAGATAATTAGATAATATGCACTTGAAATAAGACAATGCAATAGTTTTTTCTTATTTCAAATGTAAATTGTCTTGTTCCATTGGCAAAATGTCTCACTTACTTACTCAATTCAAGAAAAAATGAACTTATTTTAAGAACAAATGACTTATTTAGATTTACATTTTTTGCAGTGCTACTACTGTTTTATAATTAGTATTTTTTGTTATTTAAAATAGGTTATTATCCCATCATTTGTTATTAGTCATTGTTGGTTATATTAAGTTTGTTCTTGTATTCATTTTTCATTTAAACACAGATGTTACTCCAGTTTCACATTTCCTGTGGACATCTTGATCTTGTTGAGTTTGTAAGATTGTGCAATAGTTAAGTAAACAAAGTTGATTCTGATAATCAAACTGTTTGTTCTCCTTTTCCCCCCAAATTGGAATCGAAAAAAGAATCGATAAAGAATCGAATCGTTTCATAGAATCGAAAAGGGAATCGGAATCGTGAAAATCTTTTCAATTCCCAACCCTAGTTAAATGATATGCAATTAGACAGTTGTTTTAGTGTCAGACAGCTGGAGTTGGAAAAACCGACCAATGCCTGTTTTTGCAAAACAAAAATCAACCAATGTTTGAGTTCAAAATAATGGCTCACATATTACTACATGAAGATTTGGTTTCGTGATTGAAATCTACACAATAAAAATCCAATAAATTGTTTTATGAGGATACTTTTATACTTTTGTCTTGATTCACTCCAAACAAGCTGGATTGAATCCAAATGTTTGTCTGCGATTTTTCAGGGCTTGTTATGTCGACCAAAGGTTTGCTCTTACATTTTTTTGGTTCTTTCTATCTAAACCTTATAGAGATATTTTTGGACAACTTTGTCATAAGTGATGATTAACTAGATTGCTTATGGTGGAGCAATATCTTGGGGGCTTGTCCGGGATATTAACACAAAGCTTTAAGGTAAAAGAGGAGATTGTGAGCTGTACTTAGCAAAAACAAATCACCAGCAGAACACCAGGACGGTTTTTAATCACTATTGTTTTTGTGGTTTCTTCTTTGGGTTTGGAAGTTATCAGCTGTTTTTAAGTGTGGGGTGCTCCCATTTCCCACCCAGCAAGGAAGGGGTACACCAGTCCAAACGCCATTTAACTAGGCGCCAGTCGGCCTGAAATATCCATTTATCACAGTGAAAGATACCTACTTAAAACAAATATAAAGGAAAGCTGTGTAATAATCCAGACAATCAGTGGATTAGCTGCAGGTGTGAACAGTGGAAGCTTTTTGTCTTCTTACTCCATCAATACACAGACACAATGAAGCTCATATTATCTACAGTTGGACTGACCAGAAAATGATTTTTTCTCCATTGAGGAGATCACCTCCTTCCAGGATTATAATAGGTTAGGTGCTGAATCGACCCTTGCCACAGTGGCCTGCTCTCATCGCCTTTAGTTTCCTTGTTTTAGTCAGAGTATAAATAAATCAAATCAAACTAGCTTCCCAATGCCACGGTGTGTTCGTCTAACAGCCTGTGGACAGACTGAAGTAGTCTGCTCTGAGAGAACTTAATAAATCATAACTTGACATTTTAAAGGATGATCTGGTGATCAACCTGACGGAGGAATCCCTGAAGGATCTGCTGCCTACAGCGGTCTGAGGCTTCATTCCCAGCCTGGGAAACAGGGAGAGATGGAAGCACATCCACACTGATCCTCTAAATGACAAAGGGAGATATGTAGGCCGACAGACCGAGTGGAGACTGTTGCCAGAGCAACACAGAGGTGGCTAGGATACAGACATAGGAGGGGTCATAACTCTGAGGAGAGTCAGCGGGGAGGAGATGAGATTGAGGCTGAATCTGGATCCGTCTCTCTTCCTGCTCAGTCTGAGCTCTTTGCTGGGTTTTAATGTGGATTATACGGATGATGAGTCCCGGTTCCCCCAGAGTAAACCACCTGCCCATCAAGATTACAAACCTAGAGGGTTTGCATTTGCTCAGTGGTTCTAGTTTCTGCTCTACCTGCTGGAAGCGGAACGGGCCACACCGGATGTAGTCATCTAGCCACTGCTCCTCCATCTCTTCCAGCTCCACCTGCAGCTCCTGCTCTGGACAGAGGACCACCACCTCTGGGATAGCCGGATGGGGGTACGGCTCGCAGGGGCCTGCTCCTCCACCGCAAGGCGACCGCGCTGGGATGGACTGATTCTGCTCCAGTTTGGCTTTCACAAGCACTGGGAGCTTGCTGCCCTGGGGGGGTCTAAGCGGCTGATGTTGCCAGCCCCTCAGGAGGCTCAGAAGCATCTCCAGCCCAGCGGAGGAGCCCTCGCTTCTGGGTTTTCTTCTCATAGACGCCTCCTTGGATTCAGTTTCCTCCTGGATTTTGGGGATTTCTAGAGACTCCTCAGAAGAGGTGGGACTGGGGCTCCTTTTATCAGCCTCTGTCACAGCAGGAGGATCACACAGGACAGTTGCTGCCTCAGAGGCTGCAGCAGCTCTGGTCAGATCCTCCACCCCGACGCTGGCCCCTGAGTAGCGGGTAGACGGGCCACACGAGGTGCTTCTGCGTCCAATTCTCCTGGGCACCTTACAAACGGCCTCATAGTCAGAGTCTGCCACCCGGAGTGCGGCGCAGCCCCTGCATCTCCTGGGCTTCTGCCCAGCATCTGCTCCGGTGCACTGGTGGAGCTGCTGGTCCAGCGCAGGGTCCTCTTTATCTGCCCAGGACTCGTAGATGGAGAACACCAGATCCTCCTGGATCAGGTCTGAGTAGCTGACCTCATGCAGGGCTGACAGATCATCCACTGAGGTGTCCTCTGGACGGTCCATGCTGCTCTCCTCGGGGTTGTTCCTACGGTACAGACCGCCAATGCACTGCCGCAGCCGCTCCTTCTCCAACAACAGCTTGTGCAGGCGCTCCAGGGACAGCGCCTCCACCCGGGCGATCACAGTATCGAAGCGGTACATCCGCTCCAGCATGAAGGTGCACTTGGAGCAGGCGAACTCCCTGCGGCCATCTCGGCTCAGCTCGTGGCCCAGGACATGAGACAGCAGCACCTGCAGGCTGAGTTTGGCTCCAGGGTGGAAAATCCAGCGCCTCTGGTTCCCACAGAGCTCCCGGGCACAGATCCTGCAGGCCTCCTTCATCTTCACCACGTCCAGCATCACAGAAGGCTCAGGAGGGATGGATGGATGGATGGATGGATGGATGGATGGATGGATAGAGAAACTTTGGATGTGAATTATGAGATTGAAGAAGGTCTGATGTTTCTATCTAATCCATTGAGGAAACTTCAGTCTGCTTTAAATATGCTCAGATCCTCCCAGACTGATTGATGATGCAGATAAAACAGCTGATGTCCTTTTCCTGATGCAGGAAACCAAATCTCGCCGGTTCACGCAGACAGGACCGAAACAACGCGATCAGCATGATTTCATCACGCAGATCTCCCCGCGGGGCGGGTGTGAGGCTCTCATCATAGACTGTGATTCGCCCCTCCCTAACCAAATGTTCCACATATATATATTTTTTCCTCAGGATGAGTCCAGCTTCGCTCCGTCTCTGCCTCCTTAAATCTCCATCGCTTCTCCTCTCCCTCCTTCTGCCCGATATTTCCCCCGCAGCAGCGGATCCTGCTCTCTTCTCTACGCGGCTGGGATGGTAAAAAGTCCGGGTACCGGTCTGGTCTCCGGACGCGGTTAACGGCAGAACCAGCTGCGGCCGGAGAGGAAGAGCACTAAGATCCTCTATAACTATAAAGATGCATCACCCCGACGGAGAAAAAAAAAAAAAAAAGAGTATCTTCAATCGCGCAGCCTCTCCCTCCGAAGATCATATATTCAAAGAAGATGCACCACTCCAAAGCTAAAAATGAGCCCGGCGATAGAGATGACTCAGCGAAAAACGTCACCATAAACCTCATTTAGTAGCATGGGCGTAGGTTTGCATAGGGACCATAGGGACATGTCCCTACCAAAGTTTTGAACCGTCCTAATTGTCCCGACCAATAATTGGATGTGAGCAACATGTTTATAATTTACAGCAGTGGCTCTTTTCCTCTCGCAGCTCCTCTGCCTGGTCTCTCCTGTCCCTTTCACCTAGCAGCGCATTGAACTGTGCTGCGCTGTTTAACTCCACTCTCATTGGCTGTTCTGCCTTAGGTCCCGCCTTCTCTCTTTCTGATTGGCTGTTTTCTAGTCCGCTGTGCTTGGAGCACAACATTGAAAATTTATTCACACTAGAATGCAGCGGTTACTACAATTAATATTAGACTATGAAACTAGTCCCAATAAAAAAAATGAATATCATGTACACTACAAAACAAAAACCTTTTTTTTTCTTTTATAAAACGAAATATTCTGAGTCAGCCAGGAGTTCTGAAGACACAAAATGGGCAAATAAAGGCTGTAAGCCATCAACATTTCTGATTCTTAGCCACAGCCACCTAAAAAAAGAAAATGTGACGGTTTCCTTTTTACCAATATTTAGTTGCTGTTACTGGTTTCATTTTTTGATGACTCTGAGAAAGTTCAGGTATAATTATTAGCAGGTGTTATTTCTCTTATAGAGGAAAACAACAAGAAATGGCGGCTAAACATCTGCTGTATATCGTTTAAAAAGCATAATTAGGGTTCCAAATAATAATAATAATTTAATTGACTATTTATACTTCTAGAAATAGGATAAAGAGAAGAACAAACAGATGAAGAATATTAACATTGATTTTATCTTACATAGATTTCCACACAGTCTATAAGTAAATTAGTACAAACATTAATGTCTGGTAAAAATGCTGGAATCTGACTGTTTATTTTGGATATTATTAAATTACAGATAAGATAGTGTTATATTGTCTTTTATAATTGTTAAAAGTGATTTTATATTTTAATAAACTTAGGCTCATTCTCAGTGTTGTGTTTGTAGATGATGCCACTAAAAAGAAAATATACATAAGGAGCTATTTATACAGTCAGACAGTAGCAATATAGGACAATGATAAAAGGTTGTGTTACATTTAATCCTTTACTATTAAAAATGCACTTATACATTATATGATTATAGGAAACACAGATATCCAGTAATAATGATGCAGGGCAGCTTGTAGGTGAAGCAGCTGCCATTCAGTGCTTCAGGTGATGTCTAAATAAACCAGGTGAAACTAAAATATTTCCACATGAGGAGTTCTGGATGGAGAATTTTGATTATATATATGTATTGTAGTTTTACAATTTTGGTATAATTACTGATCTAAGTGGGTTGCTCTGTTGGAAAAAGACACATTTTACATTTATATTATGTTTTAGAGTCTTTATACTCCAGTTAATGATGAATCAATTATTAAATTAGTTGACGATTATTGAAATAATCAATTAATGCTTCAAACATTGATAAACAGCATCTAATGAGTGTAGTGTTTCTTTTATTTAATTTTTATTAATGTAGCAAAATTATGCTTTTCTCTTTTAACATTGAATTCCTCTTATCAGTACGGATGCTCACATCGAGCATAAAAAAGGGCGTGCATATTGCATAGCACCAATGACACCCGACCAATCGTGTCCCTACCAAAGTTAAAATCAAACCTACGCCCTTGTTTAGTAGGGTTCTTTCAAAAAATGGTATGCCCCCCCCCCCATCCCCCCACCAAACCAAAGTAAATGATCTTTTTTAGATACAGATAGTGTAGAGAGTTTCAGCATTGTAAGTTTGACCAACAGCATTTACATAGGGTGACCAAACGTCTGTATTTCCCGGGACATATCCGTATTTCACGTCCTGTCCCGGGCGTCCCGGGTTTTTTTTTTAGAAAGTGAGGAAATGTCCTGATTTCACTGCGCACAACGCTCCGTGTGACGTAATCCCTGAGCCGCGTCAGTGCGGGCGGCCCTGTTCTTAATCAGAGGCTCTGTTCGAAAACCTGGGCTGCATCCTCCAAGGACGCGGTCTACCTGGACTGGATCCTTCGAAGTCCTTGAAAATAAGGAGGCCGGAAGAGTTTTGGCTGTAAATTCGAACAGGTCTACCCTTCAGCAGGTTTTACCTCCGTATGCTCTGTTGCTTAGCCACCGTGAAAGTTGACACACAAAGCAGGAAAAGAATGAATACCGAGGTTTTCAAAACTGTTTATTTATTTATTTTTTAAAAAGTTAAAGTGAACAAAGACTACACTCACAAGAATCCAGAATGGAATAAATGTTCCAACCACCGGGAGCATGAACAGATAAAATCAAATGTAATGATAGAAACCTTAGTCAGTTAAATAACCTGCTGCTGTCATTCTGCACATCTCTGATGTTGCTGCTATTTTCAAATATCCATTACTGGAAAAATGTCTATAGCTGCATATTGGTTATTAATTCTCCAGTTTTATATTGTTAAAACACTTTACAGAATTTTATTTTTTATATTTTAACTCTTCCCTATTATGTTATTCTTATACATTTCTCTAAGGTCCTCATTTGTGTGACCATTTTCAATAATCTTTCTGCTGCTGTAATTTTGCCCATTGTGGGACAATAAAGGGATTTTCTATTCTATTCTATAAAAGGGTTAGAAATATATAAGTAAATCTAAACAATGTATCTACAAAATGTATCTGCAAAATCTCTAATATTCATGAACAAAAAATACTTAGTTAAGCATATTGTGCAAAACAACAATAAAAAAATTAAACTCCTATCAAATTTATAGTCCCCACTCTGCAGCTTTATTAGAATCTGTCCTTAAATTCAGGCCAAACCCATTAACACAGTAACAGATAAAAACCTTTAGATAAATCAAACATTACCGCCACATATCTGACTCTATAACCATTAAAACAACTTGTAACAAGTAACATTTCCTCTCATCACGGAGCAAATCCCGATGATGAGACATTTGTTCTTTCAATCAACCACCCCCACCCCCCGCTCCAAGGTGTCCTGGTTTTCCAAAATGAAAATATGGTCACCCTAATTTACAGACATCTCAAGTTCCAAAAACTGTTACCCACTTAAGGCCAGCAGCTTTTCAAAAACTGTTTATTAACTAACAGTAATTTCTTAGACATTAAACAGAAAAGTATTGGTCTTTTATTTTCAATACTTTCAATCTTGTAGCCTTGAACATCGGTTGTGCTTACATGCATACAGTGCACCTCGCCACTGTCATCATTCCTCACCATGGCCTGTGCTAGACAGGGGCCAGTGCCCCTGTAGATCATGTCCTGGCCTTTAGACTTGGGGTTTTCATTGAAACATGAGCAGGAAGAGGCTCTACGCTCATCCATTTTTAAGGACGTATTCGCCGTTTTACCAACAGGCTGTTTGTTTACACTCCCCCAACAGATTTCTGTTGCGCTTCCTACGTCACAGGCCAGACTAAATTACACATTTACTCTCTCATTTATTTTGGTTTATCAGCCTACTATGTTTAAGTATTGTCATCTAAATGAAAATAGCCTGTAGAAAATGAGGGAGAAGCAAAAACTGATGAAACGGTCCCCACTTTTACTACTTTATTCAACTTTTATGCCTGATCAATGAAGAGCCCTATAAAAGTCATCTAATGCAAGAGATGATGGAAAAATGAGATGACTGAAGTATTAAGAGGTAGTGATGGCCTTAGTATTTGCTCTGAGGCCAGATGTTTAATAGAGCACATAATAAAAAAAAAGAAAAGGCCATCATTCAGTATGAACAAAGAGATGCGAAGCAAAACAATGTCATATATTTAAGTTACGCTGTATGAACTGGAAGTAGAGTTAGCAAGCTAGCGCTGTGATGAATGAGCTTTTAATGAATGTGAAATATGGTTCTAATGCTGCATTCAGGATGCTGGCAGAGGAAACATCTGATTAATCATGTGAGCCATGCGCGTAATTTTTTGGGGGGACATGTACTTTTTCAAACGTCGGTTTTGGTCCCCTGCATGTTTTACTGTCCAAAAACAATGTTACAATACAGTACACAGATATTCGTTGAGCACTAGGACCAAGCGGAAAACCGCAGCTCAAGCTGAATGCCGCTTCCCTGAGTTTAGACCGCCCACAAGCTCCTGATTGGCCCACCGTCTTTTCAGTGATTGGCAGTCACCGCTGTCTTTCCTGAGAATCTCACTTTACAAACATCTGATGCCAAAAACCACCTCAATTGAGTGTAAAAACTTTTTGGCAAAACTTAGTAGACTAGATATTAATTTAGCTGTTTCCATCAAGCTAATGTGATGCGTTAAGAAATGTTGATGGAAACATGTCTAATATGGCGGAAACAAAAGTTTTTAGGTCACTTTTAAAGAGAAACAGTTAAAAAGTGATTCCAGGGACCAATCAGCGTCTGTTTCTGTGTCAGCATATATTATAGAAAGAAAACGGTACAGGGGCCATACCAGGGGCCAAGACCAGTTCTGCTGGGGCTCTGGGCCCCATAGGCCCCTGTCTCGAACTGCCCATGGGCCTGCCGTTCACCTCACTGTCTGCCCTGCAGTCCTTAGAAAACTTTGAACCAGTCTGGATCATCTGATTGGTCTGATGATCATCTGATTGGTCTGATGATCTGATTGGTCTGATGATCTTATTGGTCTGATTGGCCTGATGATCTGATTGGCCTGATGATCTGATTGGTCTGATGATCTTATTGGTCTGATGTTTTGATTGGCCTGATGATCTGATTGGTCTGATGATCTGATTAGCCTGATGATCTGATTGGTCTGATTGGCCTGATGATCTGATTGGCCTGATGATCTGATTGGCCTGATGATCTGATTG